ATAGTTGTAGGTAGTTGTAGGAATAAGTATCATAAGTTACAATAGTTGTAGGAATAATTATTATAACATGATATAAGTAACAATAGTTATACGAATAATTATTATAACATGATATAAGTATCAATAGTTGTAGGGATAATTATTATAACAATAGATGTAGGGCAAATTAGTAAAAAATGATTTAAATTACAAAAGTTGTAGGAATACTTTATGAAATGATATAAGTAACAATATCTGTGAGAATAATTATTATAACATGATATAAGTAACAATAGTTGTAGGAATAATTATTATAACATGATATAAGTAACAATAGTTATACGAATAATTATTATAACGTGAATTTCCATAATCCACTTTTCGCACCGCTGCGATAACCGGTATAGTATTTTATGTTTCACCAAACGCGAGTAGACACCCTTCTTGTGCATGCCTGACAAACGTGATCAAAACCTTGGTTAACGGGAGATAAAGACGACCCACAACAGACACTAACTTCTACCGTCCCCTCCCACAGGACAGTTATTTGAAATAATAATTAATAAGTAGTATTGATAGTACCGCGGTTGAATAAGAGAGTTATCTCCCATAACAAATGATAACTAATTACTGCACGCCCTGTGTCACTCCCATATGGCGTTCCCATTCTATTTCCTTCCAGTAAATGCAGAAACTTTTATATTGACACGGGAAATAGCCATAACTATAACGTCACTAACTGGTCTGGTTTTAAAAATTCGAAAGTAATAATTTTTGAAGGAATGGGGTCCGTATTCACAAAAACAAATTATGTCTAAAATCCATTTGAACATCATGAATGGCAACGATTTTAACAAATATATGGCAAAGTTAAAAAATTTATACATACCGACAGGTTCACCATGGTCCTTGCTGTGTGCCATTGCAGCTAATTTTGGATATTTAGGGGTCCATAAAGCATCGGTATATGGTACTTTCTGTACAGAATAAAAACGTTAGTTAATTATACATTATGCAAGAGCTAAATTTACCAATTGCAGGTCTTTCTTTAGGCCTGAAATGTTATCTAAATTATTAATTAGCCATCAATTAACTTATCCAGACCATAATCAACTCTCGAAGGCATCGCTAGCCTGCGATATTTACTGGATTGTGATCCCATTTACTGCTCGACTTTCATTCATAAATTAATCATGAAATGGATGATCGAGGCTACGTTTTTTATCGTACAGACTTTAGTAATGATAATCGAGGCTAGGCTGAAATTTCAATCGCTTAGTTCTCGGTTCATAGTGGATCAATTTGAATGAAATCTTCAGCAAATTGCTTTTACATTATCTAGTTGTTAACTATCATTGTGAGAACTGCCAGCTCTTTGTCTTATCTCCCATAATGTATCTTTAAAGAAATACATTTATCAATTGGAACTTATTACTGCGCTTAACTATGGGGTCAAATTCAATACTGGGCGCAGAATCAACACCAATTTGCACTTCGAGTTGTACATTGTTTAAACTATCTCAATACTGCATTAATCTAAATAAAATTAGACCTTTATTTCCTTCCAACGTGGTTCAATAAAATATACACATACCAATATCCATATACCCAGGGATCTTAATTCACCAACCCATCTAGAATCTCGATTAGAATTATAACCAAATCTAACACTACGTCTTCCATCAGGCACACTTACTATGTTGATAAAATTCTATAATAGAAATACCCAATGAACTTTTTATTTTGATAAAATTCTATAATAAATACCTAAACACTGCTTACTATTTTGATAAAATTCTACAATAAATACCAACACAAGCTTACTATGTTGATAAAATTCTATAATAAATACCAATAAATAAGCCTATAGGTACATTCATAGCCCTGAATCAACGACTGTGAGTTTTACAACATTGAGGAGATGTACGGAGTTAAAGCGAGATCAAGCCCTCAATTGCAGATGAGGTCCACTATGCTGATAACAATTTTTAATAAAAGTGAGTTTCAATATTAACTAATGGGAAAAGGTGACTGTCGAAATTAATTAATTAATTTCTTGATGCAAATGTTATTAAGTAATGGTCTATGTATATTTAGCAAACAAATCTGTAAACACGTGGGGTTCGTACGCGGAAATCAAATTCAAAACTTTATTATCTCCGATTTCAGCAGTCTTCTCGGGATGTCATGTCAGTTGAACACTAACTTCTGGAAGATATTGTTAAGCGGTACTGTAGCGTAAATATTATAATGTTAAAAGCAAATCTAAGAAAGAAATAGCAGTCTTAGACTCAACTAAATGGACACAACTTGAGCAACATTGGCCCATTGACTGAACTGCCATAAACTGAAACAAATAATTTCAATCTTTACCTGGTTGGGCCATTCGGCCAATCGCAGTGGAACACCATTTATTGAAATTTCGAGCGGAGCCACACGTCTTCTATAAAACCATATACGGACAGCTTACCATAATTTGTTATTTGGGCATCGGGCAGATGGAGTTGTCGAACCTTAAATAAAGAAAGATACAATTGCATTCAAAGTACAATACTATTGACAATCTAAAACTGTAACGATAATCTCGTAGCTCTGTAATACAGAATCTGCATAGTATTCCACTCGTCGTGTAGTATGGTCACGACCGCTCTGTGTAACAAATAATCACATTGTATACCTAGATTCATCATACCCTCCGACCAACTCATTGAAAACTGATCTTTCAAAAACGAGTCGTTTTGAATCCCTTTTAAACTACAATATTGTGAAAGTTGAATCTCTGAAAGGGATATGTGTCAGAAAGGTTGAATTCCTTTTAATGTTTCCAAAGATAAAATTAATTGAAACAATTCGTAACATGCGGCATCCTCTTTTTATTGGCCTCTTTTCAATCATATCTGGAGATTATCTACCGCAGTCTTCTAAAATAAATGTTAAAATTAAATATTGTCCAAATATTGTGTATATAAATATAGGATATGGTTATTCATTATCTCAATAAAAGAAATAAAATAAACCAAACCTTGCTGTGGGCTACTTATGGGATCCGTTACAAAATATTTGAATCTGTCACAGGTCTAAATAATTTAGTATCAATCCGTTTCCCACCAGTCTGAAAATATACACTATTTATATTATTTACAATGGCTTGTATTACGATCTTTTTGTTATACTGAGACTTTAATATTGGCCTTGACATTGTTCTTTTTCTCGCAAAGGATCCAAATTCCAGTTTATGTTTGATACACACAGGTTCATTTTCCTGGGTCTCTGAGACACTGTCGTTTATCCCAGACAAGTAGGGACGGGGCTTGAAAATCCCAAGGTTCTTTTTGTATTGACCAGCACCTGGATTGGCAGACAGGACAATCTAGAGGAGAGTTCAATGTGTCTGACGTATTCCTGATCGTCCAGTATCATTACTCAGGTACTTAAAGGGGCTATCCCGATTTGAACGAGGCTCAAAAATAAAAGTCTAAGTACATATGAAATTTAAGCGCCAAAATATGGTGTATTTACCTTGTCTCAAAACTTCAGCTTAAAATATTGAGTCGTCTGCTTATCCGGACACGTAACCCTGCACACGTACGATTTCGGGTCAGTTTTTTTCGTTGGGTGGCCTGATAATCGATTCCCGTTCCTTTAGAGGTCTATACAATGAATGAAGCATGTGCAGTACTTGATAACGAAAGGTAAATTTCACCTACACTATTAGTTTTATAAAATAAAAAATCTGGTTTTATCCAAACACCACATAATACAGCTGGGAGCACCAATCTTCAATTCCAGATGAGACTGACGGGTCTAAGGTACAGGATTCTTAGGGATTTTAACACAAAATTAAGCAGTTTTATTTTCTAAAAATATTATCGGGATTGGACCTTTAAGAAGTTTAGATAGCTATACTAATTCGTAACAAAACTCACTTTATGAACCTCTGGTGCTGATAGGATCGAAATGTCACAGGAGCGGTGAATCCATTAAAAAATGTTAATGTTGATGTCAAATCATAGTAGCCTTTCATCATCTCTACGTAAACCTCTGAAATGGATAGATCATATCAGCGCGGTCATCACTCCAACAAAAACCTCTGAAATTTGCAAATATTATAACGAATTATTTCTAAATTTCTAAAGACAGATATAAGTCAAAATTCCGTTTGTAAAAATGTCGAAGTAAATAGTTAAAGCATTCGGTGAACAGGAATGTAATGATCACTTTCAGCACAACTATCACCGTAAGTATACTATAAATACACAGACAATATGATCTGGGTGTAATACTATGTCTAGAACGCTAATTGGAGATATTTCTTATTTCATCAATGGTAAAACATCAGCATCTACCTACCTTTTCCATGATAGCTTGCCAGTGCATCTCGGGCTTTGTGTAGTGTCTTGTAAGGATGTGAGGGCGATAACCTGTAGCAATAACAAATCATTTAAAACATGACACATGACACAAGTATATGGAATACAAATTACTTGGCTGTTTATTCGACGTTACCTGAAAGTCGACCATAATGGAAATCGCCACCGTCTTGGATTGTTGAATGACTGGTTCTTTCTTTCAAAAGAGTAGTCATCAAGGAGTAGTTGTGCCAATTTAGATACCCTTTATCCACATTTGAACGTTTTCCCAGTTTTTATATGCATAGCTGCTGCCCTAAACCTCGTCTAGCGCACTTCAACACGTTTATAGACATGTTTTCATTAGACACTGCTATATAATAACAAGCGTTTCATCAATAGCATTAGAAGCTGCACTATAGGCAAGAAGAGTCTTTCAGATAAAAATAATACATGCTTTAGTTTTGTTAACTTACCCTGTATTAGAATCAGATGAAATATTTCATTAACAATCCCTGGAATAACACATAGTACAATAATTGCAGGAAGCATAATTACTAAATTACCAGCACAACCAGACATAGTGTACAAACGGTAAAGATCATTTTACAATGCCAATACATTATATCAATTATTATCTTTGCCGATTTTCTGGCTTTGGGTTTGAAAGTGATAAGATACTGCATATAGTAAGTTAGATTTCTGTCCCAGATTTACAGAGTCTCTATGATAACGTCATGATTTATTTCTATAGCACCTGAACACTGTTGATTACAATAACATATTGGGAACCTCCTACGAGTCTTTTTTGATATCAAAATTGACGAGTAGGAGATTTTATTTATCACTCAATCCTTTCTTACATGCACAAATATATAAATATAATATTTTGCTATAGATTTCACTTTTACTGAATCTGATAACATTACGGCGTAGTGATACATCATTTTTTGACAGAAATTCATACATTGCAAAGTCCTTTCTATTAACCCAGTGTTTCCATCAAGGTCCATTAGATAATAAATAGTCCAGTTACAACATAATGATCTAAAATGTGTGACCACCGTGGATTACAGACTTTACAGCGATAACATGTTGATTATTGTGGCAGGGAATATTTTAGGTGAACGCGATCGTTTAGTAATTATGTATCTCCGGGAAGTAATCAGTCATGAATCGAGTTTGATTTCATTGTTGAACCTCAAGAAATTAAATTCACAATTGTCGAGTTATAACGCGCTTCAGAGTTCGAGTTAAAACGCACTTCAAATGTCGCGTTATAACCTGTATCAAAGGTCGAGTCGAGTTTATAAGATACAAAACATTCTCCTAGAAAACTCCAATTCCTAATCGTTGTAATTTTAGATCATAAATGCTCTACATATTCCCTTGATGTAAGCCAAGGTTTTGAGAATATTAACATGTGCTAAACCGTTGACTAAACAATTTATCTGTGTACTATGAAATGTATTGGAATACTGAATACTTGTATATATGTAGTTTGTAAGAACGAAAGTTGGCTGTAGAATAATGTTAAGAATAGCCGTTATATTCGTGTTATTACCAACAACTTGGGCAGCTACCATACATTTGTATGTTAGTCCACAGGGTTCAGATACCAACACCGGGTGAGTTGTTATTTTTTCTGATAACTCACTGCTTATGACACGTACTGGCTCAAAAAATAGGAGGTATGTTTCCCTTGGAGAGGCTGGCAAGGAGAATCATCTAGTCGTTTAGACAGGATTAAACATTTGTGGCCACATGTACTTGTACTTAAATGGACATGTACTTAAAGTAACCGTTGAAAGTTAAATTTCAACGAAGAGTAGGTCGAAGCACGGTTGTCTATTTATTTTATTAGGCCGGTCGGTGCATACTATCTATAGTAAGACGTTAATTAAGCTAATTTCATTTCTTTTCATTTCATTTCATAAGAGATTTCAGACGTGTTCCCGTCTTCGTTAGCCCAGTCGGAGCAGAACGTGCGATAGGGCATTATTAAACCCCATTTCATTACTGGAACACTTAATACTACGTAATGGGCATAACAATATTGAATGGGGTTAATGTTGAAGTTGTCCAAGGCGTGGGTATTTTACTGGAATCCTTGAATAAAAGTTTAGCCTTTTGGGTCGTATTTGATATTTTTCTATTTCGTACTGTCTGCTTTGATTACCCTTTAAAGCTAAGATATATACAAGGTATGATAATATCTCCTATTGTACTTTATTCAGGTTAGACCCTTCCACGCCACTAAAAACACTACAAAGAGCACGGGATAGAATTGATGAACCTGAAATCCTGGGAAACGGTTTGTTACCTTTTTGGACCAGGAACTGGTCCCTAACCGCTACTCATCTTGTTCTTGTTCTCCTTGTTTTTGGGTGACACTCTTTGAAAAAGGCTAAGGCTCCGTCAATTCAAGTCCGATCGATTTGGTGAATTACATCTTTGAATAACATCAGCTCCTGGTCCATAGTACGATTGTACTTGTTCTTTTAAATCTTCACATGATCACGAGATACTGTAAGGTGTTGAAGAGATATGATACATCAATAAATATCATTAATTACAGTAACATTACGATGCGTCATTTGCATTTTTCGCTAAAATATCAAAGTTTTCACGGCTTATCCCCCGCTAATAGTATGTACTCAGATTGGTTATTTTATATTCAAAATCAAAACACCAACGATAGATAATGTCTAGGCTTGGGTTCAATCAGATTCAAAACCTTCCTACCCATAAAATTTCACTTCCACATACCTTTGTAAATACTGAACGGAATTGGACTATTTTTGGACTAAGATTCCTACAATATTGTAGTTTGCAAGTTCCTCCTATAGCTATAAAATGACGCGTCAAGACTATAAGACTCACTATTACACCGTTGTAGAGATATACGTAGAGCTGATGTCTGGATATCACGATTTACTGATACCCTTGAATCTCACCCATGGTTATACAGCATTGGTTACATTCAGGTCGTATCAGCACGAAGAAGTGCATGTGGTAATTACAGTTATATTAAATTATATGAAACTTATATCTGTTCAAAATATTAAGAGAATTGTATAAATAAAATATATTATATTTCAGTCCCAAAATGACCTTGGTCCGTGTCAATGTTGAGTGGACGTTAAACAAATGCCACCACCCCCGGCGGGCTGTGTAGTTATGCTCGTGATAATGATCTTGTCCCTTGCTCATGGCAATCAATACCTATACTGCATTCACCAACTGTGAGCAGGTGATATGTGGAGTGATTTCAAAGGCACTTTATGCTCAGCTGATATTCGTATCAAACGTCCCGCAAAGAAATCGAACTAGAAGCCATTCTTGAATAATTTCATATATTATAATATCTTGTTTTAATTCATCATTCGTATTTTTAAAAACCCGTAAAGAAATCGGACTAGGAGTAATTCTGCAATAATTTCTTGTATTATTGAACCTTCCGTCTAATGAATCATGACCATGTTTGAATTGTATATTACGAGAAGTGCTATTTATTTTCAGACTGGTGGTAAAAGAATAACACCCAGTCTTTTTCAACCAGTAACAGATCCTGTCATTCTTAAAAGAATCCCAGAAGAAGCCCATGAAAAGGTTGGAGTGTATCTCTAAATGTGTATTTAATGTGCATATCCGTTAGCATCACTTCTAGAGGTTCTTGTAATGATGATCGTAACCGGTTGAAACATAAATGGACATAATAATAAAACGGACCCCAAACCCTCAGCATTTGTTTCCTACCCATTCAATTTATTTAGGGTTTCTAGTATATTTTTGAAACGAAGACTATAAGAAGGTCGTTAAATAACATTAATTAAAAGGCGAAATACGTGTTTAATTCTTAAAAGAAGACCACGCCCGTATATGTCTAAACAATAAGCTGAACAACGCATTAATGCCGCATATACATGTATACACGTTTCCTAGTTAACAGAGATCATTTCTTCAAACACTGTTGCATCTGACATCATTGTCCAGTCCAAAATAACAGTCTATCCAGCTATAAGTATTGATGGCTGTGATACGTGAGGTGGGGTATGGCTGTTCAAAATCTTTATTATTATTCTTTATTGTTTCTTTTTTTCTTTTGAACGTTATAAGGTTCGTCAAATCCATTTACCTGATGCTGGTATTACTGATTATGGAACTATGTCTATTTATGGATTTTATCGACAACGAATTGCACCTTTAGAATTGTTTATCAATGGAAATCCTTTAAGACTTGCAAGATGGCCAAATGATGTAAGTATCAATCCATTTTGTGTGCTTTAATGGTCATTAGTAAAGTAATTTATGATTGTTAAGCTAGCATTTTACTATTTTTATTAGTGTGCGGTACGGGGGGTGGGGGCGGTATCTCATTATTAGATGATGATTAGGTTACCACTGTGGATCTTTATTGAACCTTATGTTGCGAACTATAGATAGACACGCACATCAGGAGTACACGTTGGAAGTTGAAATTTAAACACAATTCATATATTAGTCTTGAAACAAACCTAAATGTTTATCGATATGGTTTATCTCTAAATTGTTATAATACCGGTTGTTTAACGAAGGTAAACCGGTAGGCTAAACCTCTTCATCGGTTTAAATTATTGAATTGTCACAAGATGGAAGGCCGGAGAAAAGCGCTGTGTCGTTCACTTAATATTTCAGTAAAACGATACACTGATTGTATAAAAATATCACATTCGCGGTTAAAGGACCGTTGACAATTAGAACAAGCAAACTTACAAGTCTCTCGATAGAATTTTTCACTTTTCTAGTTTTTCATCAATATAGTGAGTGTACCTGATGGAAGAAGGGGTGTGAGATTTGGTTACAACAACTCCCGTGATACTAGATGGGTTGGAGAAAAGGAACCCTGGGCTTATGGATATTGGTGAGTGGTAGCAACACGCTTCTTCCCGTTGGATACTCATACGTCATTTACTTTTTGCCAGGGGATAATTGGCGATGTTCGTCGGCGAAATCAAAGTCTAAAACCCGTTGATTCTTCTAAATTGATATCACTTCCGGTTGACTTATCGGAGCTGATATTTCTCGGGACAATCTTGTTGGTTTTGTTGGTCGAACAAACCAAAATAGCTACATGAGGTTTTTTATTGAGAAGTTTTATTTTAAGTGTTCTATTTGTTCCGAGTTTACTAATATAAGTGAGATATTTATTCGTTCTCTATAATCTGTAGGTTTTTTAGCTGGGCAGACCAATCAGCAGAAATTGCGAGTGTAAATACCAGCTCGCATGAAATAACTCTGACTGCGCCGACTCATTATGGTCTAAAAACAGGTACTTATTACAATTCGTTCCACTACATCCCATCAACCGCCAATGTAATACGTGAAGTTAATTCTCCCAGTCCCACAGAAATTAAGAACTGAAATTAAAAGTGAAGAAATTATCTCCACGTATCACATCACGGTGTACGTAATGTGAATTCTCCAAATTTTAGAACAAGAAAATAAAAACGTGAAGAAAGTATTTCCACGAATCACTGCTCCTGGAATAGGTTTGCCTTGTTTGATGGCATCATGATTCTACTCGCCTAACATCTGTTATTGACAATGACAGAAACCGTCAAACTTGATTTTAATTCTGTAGATTCGAAGCCGTTCCCCTAATATAGTTCGGCATCCCTAGCAATACAGTCCAACATGTCCTCCGTAAGGAATGTAGTTTAATATCCCAACACAATACTTCGGTCAACTAGGGTTGTTTGATGACTAAGTCTGAAATTCGAAATGATGAATTTTGCCTGGACAGCGGCGTTTTCACCTACTCTTCTCCGATTATCCAACTGCCAGGGGTTCTTTTATGCCCTGACTCATCGACTATCCTGTTCTTCCTCCATATAGAGATCAATATTGTAATATAGCTTCAAGAGGTTCTTATTTCTGTAATAGTTGCAAATTACCTAGTGTGTATCGAGTTGACGTGCAACCCCCATCCTCCTATCTTTATACTCTGTAGTAATCCATCATTTTGAGTTTTGTCGCTTACGATACAGTTAAACAATGCAGACCGAGTATTGATGATTATTCATTCGGAAGTATGCTTATTTTAACTTCATGTATAAATAAAAGTTCATTAGAAACGCTAATTTGAGAAACTCCATTGTGTACCTAAATCAATTAATTAAATATCTGTGAACTCGTATACTTTTATTCTACAGGCCATTTGCAGAAAACAGACAATATAAAAGTGGGTAACGATCAACAAGGCGGTTACTTCCGGGTCATCAATATGTTATCAGAATTAGATCAACCGGTACGTGCAATCACAAATTACATTGAATACAGACTTATCAGTAAGAGAGATACAGTGTATTTGAAATAATCAGGTTCTCTATATTGACGATACCTTGGTAGTATCAATTCTGTAGTCATAAAGATGATTATTGGCTAATATATATTGCTGGCAGTTATAGCGTAAGCACGGTACAACCATTGGTCATATTTTGTTCTCAAAATTACTTATATGACAAAACATCAACTAGAATCCATTTCAAACGTAACCTAATTACTGGGAACTATGGTGACTCGGAGAGTATGGGTCTGGCTTACTAACCCGGTGACCCGGTTCGTCTAGTCGGGTTTCCCTTTAATCAGTGATGCAGAACAGATGGTCTAGCAAGGAAAAACTTCTAGGGGTTGGTAGACAAAAGTACTCTCATCACCCATTGTATGGCGCATACCACTTTTCATTTCATATTCATTTGCTTCTGGTTGAATTCGGTTCATTTAAATATCAGAATTTGTAATTCAATATAGGCATGTCATATACACACCAAGATTTGTTATGTACTATAGAACACCAGCAATACGTTCTATATCTGGTCAATATTACAGGGTGAATACTACATCGATAGATCTACCGGGATTCTATATATGTGGCCCAACACACCTACAGGTTATCTGAATGATTCAGATATTATATATGCTTCTATATTAGATGATTGTATTTCGTAAGTATTATTTCTACTTAAATACAAATGATATCATACAACCATTCTTCATCTTTTGAAAATGTTTCAGCTAGCCCCAAATCACCTGTATTTAGTTTCACAGCTCTCACCTCAACTAAACAAATACTTCTCAAATTGAAACTTAAGGCTAAATCTTATTGTTCTGGTTGCAACAAAACGTCGCTGGCTAAACATTAATTTTGTGTTAAATGACCCAATTTTTGTCTTTATATACAGGATAGCTGAAGGTGCTAACAATATTACTTTCCAAGACTTTACCATAGAAGCATGTCGTCGTTTCGGTATCGACGGGACCAACTTAGAGAACGTTTCATTTTTGAACCTGGAGGCTAAAAACTTGGGTATGTAATTTTCCTTGTTATGACACGGAATGATGGAGTACTCAGATGTTAAGTGATCCAATAATAGTTTTTAGTAACCGGAAAAGTGGGAGCCCATATCGATAAAGCAAGGTGGAGACATTGAAATACTGATTGTCTAGCTATATGTCCCCAGTCATATAGTTAGCCTAATTGTAAAGGAACCTCATCCCCAATCTGGCGATTTATTTAGAATATATGATTGGGGTGTTGAATTCAGGTAACTTACATACTTTAATAGTTGAATATATTTTTATTTTAATTTTGACCAGCTTTTTGAGATATGTCAGTTATACTATATAATTTAATTGCATAATGCATGTAGGAACATGGTAAATCTAAGAAACCGTTAATATTGATTAGATAGTGACTTTTTAATTGATATGTATTGAAGGATCATATGGTATACGATCTGCTGGTGATAGTAGAAATATTACAGTAGCTGGATGTGAAATACATGATACTGATGGTGGCATCAACGTCTCAGGTAAGTTAAACAGCTTATTTAGTGAAGTGGAATGGGGTTTAACGTCTTGCTTTTTTGCAACATGGCCCGTGGTGGCTCAGTCAATAAGATGTTGCCTCGCTAACCTGGTGTTGTACTTGCAGGGGAACCCTGCTTTCAGATAATTAATGTTGTACTTGCAGGTGGAGATAGGATAGATCTGATACCATCAGGAAATGTTATAGAAGATAACCATATTTATAAAGTTGGGCGTGAAACATCTGTTGGTGCCGATGGTATCAGTCATTCCGGTGTCAATAACATAATCAGAAACAATTACCTACATCATGGAACATATTCTTGTATACTGTGGGCTGTAAGTATAGACAATTTTAAAGTACTCTCCTAACTCTTTCTTAAAGGCATTCGTTTTCCGGTAAATTTGAGAGGAATTTTATTTAACGTCCACTCATTGTAAGCTTTTGGCTAATAGCTAACCTTGGAGTTATCAATACAAACGTATTATATCATTGTATTTTATATTTCAGGGAAACGATCATATCATGGAATATAACCATTTCGAAGACTGTTGTCAGAATGCAACCGATGGTGGTGCTGTTCACTGTGGAAGAGACTGGAGCATGGTCGGTATTCACACGTACTCATTTTTTTTAAGGATTCCGAGGAAATACAAAATTTTCCCAATCCACAATATTTGTCTTTCACGCCCAGTATTGCGAAAAATGTTGTGTCTAATATCCATGTAGTCTCTTCCTTAAACATACATTATGCAAAAGCTAAATCTGCCTATTGCATGTCTTTCGTTAGGCCTGCAATGTTTTCTAAATTATTAATTATTAATTAATTTATGATCTCGGTAGCATCAGATTTTTCCGATATTAAATAGATTAGAACGGTTCAGCCATATTTTAATTTAATTTAAAAATGGAGGGGGCGAGAATTAGCTTCGAACAACCAGTATGGTGGTTGCAATTATTGCATACGTCTTGTCAAACCTTCAAAGGCTAAAATGTCGCAATAGAGTAACTGGAATGAAATTTTCAAATTTTTCATATTACATTATCTATTTTCGAACTAATATACAAAGAATGGCTAGCTCTTTATCTAAATCTTACATAATGTATCTTTAATCCATAATGTGCCTATTTATATTAAATTGTTTTGGATAAATATGTTTATCCACAAATATAATGTGCTCTCTTACGACGATTAGATACAGTTCATGTGCTTTTTCGGGATTATTTCTGAAATATAAAAGAAAAATGAAAGTCTATTTAATATTGATCTTTTAGCGTGGAAATTATATACGGTATAATTATTTTCAAAATACACTGCGAACATGGCCAGGTGGACAAATTCGTGGAATTATGTTAGATGATGAATTTTCCAGTGTTACCATTGAACATAATGTTTTCTTCACTGTAAGTTGATTATTACCATATAATTATTACCATATCAAAACACTGGCCGCATAATATAATAACGTACACTAAAAACAGTGTTATTTGCAGGGCGGGGCGGAGAACGGGGGGGGGGGGTCATGAAAATAGTATATTTCAAGAATCATTAAATAGGCGGGAGGGGTGGGGTAGAAAGGGGGGCGGGGGATATTTGGACTAACATTAGTGTTTGCATACGCTCATTTTGACATACGCTCAGTTATAACAATTCTTTATTTTCTCCACATCCCTCCTCCATTCTCCATAGCAATTTTTGTTGACTCTTAGACTCGAAGAAGTGTTTTGTATTTATTTTTATGCCCGGTTTTAATGAATAATCCTGATTTTGGGGCGTAGGAATCAGGAGACAAACAGACACGAATCACCTACCCAATTAACTTAGCGCTATACGCCATTTGTTTGATTTCACATTTTGTGATATTTTTATTGCTACTGAATATTTATCTTTTTAATTCGGTGTATTCAGAATGAAGTCCATGCCAATATTGGTGGTGGTCGAGATACTATCATCAGATATAACGTGTTTTATAATGCTACTGAAATATCTGTTGATGTTGATGGTAGAGGACTAAATGGATCAGATCTACCAGAACTTGAAGCAGCACTCAAGGTATTGTGAGCACAACGCACACTTCATTATTTTAGTTTAGTTGTCATTTATAATGAAATGAAATGAAACGAAATGAAATGGGGTTTAACGTCCTACTGTTCAACTCTGAGCTGGGCTAATGAAGACGGGCATACGCCATACAGTGTGCTATGAGAGAAATTTTGCCCGGACAGCGGCACTACGGCCTACTCTTATATCGAATTCTAACTGCCAAGGGATCTTTTTACGTACACGCCAATGTGTACACGGGACCTCGTTTTTTTGTACCATCCGAACGACTAGACAACTGTCCTTGTCAGGCAAGGGGCAAGCACGCCGGAAAATCTGGATGAACTTTCTCGGCCAATGCAGGGATAAAACACCCGACCTCCAGGCTAGCGAGCCAGCGTCTTACCCACCGTGATCCCCCCATTTATAATGAACTTGGTGTGTTTTATACATAATTTCAAACTAAAGGCATGTTTATATGGCGATATCTGCACATAAAATATATAATATGAAGTTTTTGCATTTGCGTAAATATGCTTATGTAAGTAAATTTGGCCGAATGGGCGCAGATTTTACTCTTTTTGTACATCTACGCCTAATTGAGATCAGGTATAAATTGATTACAACCTGTCAGCAAATGCAGTTTAAATGTATATATGCTACCTCCTTCTTTTGGACACCCAAGGATATCTCCTCATTCTAAAACCTTCTTTCTAACCAGCCAGTGTCTTCAACGTACTGTCCTAGCTTCCCTTTTAATACCTCAGTCATTTAAACAACCCACAATATATCCCAGTCTGCACCTACCGAAGCTTCCCACTCTGAGTTTGTCAATGGTAAGACAAAAATAACCGATTTGGTACAAATTTATATAAGGTATCAAAATTTCGTATAAACATAAATATACTTTGATTTGCGCAGTTTTGCTATCATGCACGTACCGAAAGGACAGAGGATTGGACAGTTTTAATACGTCTGAAGGTATCTTAATCTAGTATACGGTAAACTATGTTGATAGCTAATCAGAGCTGCTTTCTGGACCTACAAATCTGAAACTCATCCCAGCTTAGCACATACAAACAATATTTTCACAAAAGTACCAATATGATGAACCATCGTTATTTTACTAATCATAGAATCATGTAATGTATCTTCCAGGCTGTACCCTATACCGATGCTCTATGGTCCTCACGATATCCAAAGTTAGCAGCTATGGCATATGATAAAGTCCCTGGAGCGCCACGGGGTAAACTTTGTTTATTGTTTTAACGTTGTTTACCGATTTATTTCACATTGGAAGTCTAAGTCTAGTCTTACTTTTACAAGATTCCATAGGACATCCCTTATCATTCAGCTTCTAAAGAATCCTGGTACAAACGAGAGAGAGAGAGAGAGAGAGAGAGAGAGAGAGAGAACGTCCACTCCACACAAACTAGGTCATTTTCGGACTAACACATGGTTCAATTTTATTTCAATAATTCCCATGCGCGTAGAGGTCTTTAGCAGTGGGATGAAACCGGAGGACCCGGAGAAACCCACGAGGTTGGACACGGGGAATCGAAATCACGCCAGTTGACTCAATGACAGACCTTATGATACAGCACTCACGTGCAAACAATTCAGCTATCCAACCCCCCTGGTACAAATGTAATCGAGGTGTTGGTGCATATGTCAGGATATACCTTGTTATTAAATTAAATACTGTTATATTGTTCACCTTATTCATCCAAATCAATATATCATGGTATATACCTACATGTAGTGGATGTTCGTCTCTTCTATACCGATATGGTATTAATCCTATAAACAATAGATTGTTGTTACAAAAGGTGAACAATATAACTATACCACTACCAATTGTAATTGCTTTAGGAAATAAACCATTTCGGGTGCAATTTGTTTATTTTAGGTAACCAAATCTACAAGAACATATATTATACCGTTAATGGTACCCAACTTATAAATTATCATCGTACCTATATAGTAAATAATACATACTTTAATCTGACAGATAATTACCAGGTAGCTTATTATTATCTATATTATATTTATATATTGGTATGTTTGTACATTTTTCTGTTTCTAGGTAATCAGATCTACAAGAATATATACTCTATGGTGAAGGGATCTAAATTAATAAGTTATCACGGCTCATATTTAGAAAATAATACATATTTTAATGTTACAGAGAATTTCCAGGTATGCATTGTTTTTATTGTAAGCCATATAAATACGAAAGTGTTAGCAAAGTTAATTGAGAAGTGGTGTTGGTGTTCCATGTTCTTGTACGCCTTATATTGAACACGTTATATTGAACACGTTATATTGAACAAGTTATATTAACACCTTATACTCATATATTGTACACGTTATATTGTACATCATAGTCTACATGTTATATTGAACACCTTGTATTCATATATTGTAGTAGTTTTCAACATTTTTTGCCAACGGCAAACCTTGGAACACATGAAAAAAAAGCAGCACACCTGACTAAATATATATATGAAAAATATTTGAATTTTGCAAAATAAAAACATGGCAAGTCATAGACGACAGACTAGTCATAGACACATAGTATGATTCAAACTAAATAAAGAAAGACACAGCTATGAACTTACTTTATTGCAATGTTTCGTGTGCACACGTTATATTGTGGGTCGTATATAATGCACGTTATATTGCAAATCTTACAGTGTACATCGTACTATAATATTTTTCAGGTGCAATTCTCAGATTTTGTGAATCCTGAAAAGTATAATTTTCAACTACAAGGAAAAGCTAAAGCCTGGGCAGATCAAAATGGCTTTGAAGAACCGATTCCTTTCAATCAAGTTGGTCCACGATTTGCTCCCGGACCAACCTATTTAAACAAAGGTATAACCATATTATGAATGATTCGAGCGGAATAGAATATTAATTGAGTTACGCATCTCGTCAACACAATACGTCGGTCATTTTGAAACTAAGGTTCGGGGTTTTTTTCGCTTGATTGACATTGAATTCCAAGAGGGACCTCGAATTTTCGTTCCATGCCGATGACTGGGCAACACTGGCAAGTTAGAACTGGGCTTGTAAAATACTATGATTTTTCTCGGTCCATCCCGTGATTCGAAGTCGAGTGTCCAGTGCGTGCTCCTACAGCGCGTCTACCGCGACCCCGCGTTGGACCAGCCTCACTAGACCATTTGAATAAGTTCTAGTAAAGTAATCTGGTAAAACTCACGAATGTGATTGTAAATCTACATCTGAGTTCAAGCCTACAGAGATACGTGAATGCAAAAACTGACATATGCAATGACCGCTCACTTTGTCTGCAATTACAACACCTGCATACTAGCCAATGGGCGTTGAATTTGTCTTTTGCCTGTCGACAGCCTTGCACTATTGGCATGAAATCCAAAACTACGACGAGTTATTCCCGAGCTTTACTTAGCAAGTGATATGGCTGGATTAATAAGACTATTAAGATTAGATGTATTCATTTTATATGGACTCGATTATTCTGAATCATGCCGTCATTCAATTATATTCAGTATAAAAGATTTATTTTGTTGTCGTACCACTAATGGACGACGTTCTGTTTGGTTGGAAACGTTAAAAACCGCATTACTGTAACTGGGCAATCGTTGTTGTGAATTTTGATATCTTTTCTTTACAGTGCAGAGAAAATTTTCTGGAAATTGGAATTCCCGGCGACCAGCTCACTGAGCTATAAAGAATCTATTTTGTATTCATTAAATTGGCTATTATTATAAATACATTTTGATTAATTGCTGCAATATTTGAATCGAAGAAAAAAAAGAGAACACGCCCCCATTAAGAAAATAGTTTTAGGGACTAATTTTACTTTTACTCTGTAGATGTGGGGGTTCGGGTGGTCAAAGGAGAGGTGTAGAACATCAAGCTAAAGCAGGCAACCATGCCACGTCTAAACGAAATTAACTGAAATGGGATTGAACTATATTGAATTGAAATGGGGATTAACATACATCTTTTTTTGCACCAACTTGGCTAATGAAGACGGTTATACGCCAAGCGGTGTGCTAACACCCAACTCTTATTTCGAATTCCAACCGACGGGGGTTCTTTTTCATTCATGCAAACGTGTACGCGTGTCCTTGCTTTTCCCCATCAAGTGGAAACCACACCAGAATATCCAGGGGGAACTTTTTCAGCCAATATCGGGAGCGCGAGACAAACCTATCACCAGACCCCACACTTGCAAAATAGATATTAAGACAAGACGGATTCCGGGCTCTCCAGGCATCCAAAAGACAAATATCTTTTGGGGCAATGATAGAAATGGCAAACCAGGAATCAATGAATACCGTAATGGTACTGGGCTGTCGAACCACATTATCTTTAAATTGCACGTCATGTAAAAATAACAAATAACTCGGGTAACATATTTACAAAATGCTCGAATTTAATGGTCTAGAAATACAATAGATATTATCTATATCAAAAAGTTGAAAACTACCCATGCCGTACAAATGAAAAACTACCAATATTAATCAGTTGAAGAACTGCCCGTATTAAACAGTTGAAAAATTACCCATACCATACAACTACAAAACTGCCCGTATTATACAATTGAAAAATTACCCAAATTAAACAGTTGAAAAACTGTCCATACCATACAGTTGGAAACTGTCCATACCATACAGCTGAAAAGTGTCTATACTATACAATTGAAAATCTGCACATTCGATAGAGTTTAAATACTACCCGTACCATACAATTGGAAAACTGCCCATACCAAACAATTGAAAAACTACCCATATTATACAATTGAACAACTGCCCATAATAATTGAAAAACAAACTACCCATACCATATAGTTGAAAAACAAACTATCCATACCATACAGTTGAAAACTACCCATATTAAACTATCCGTATCAAGCAGTGGATAATATCCATAACAAATAGTTTGGTAGTTTTAGTTCCAAATAACTGTCATTGTTAAGGACCATATAGTTCATTATAAACATTCGGAATTACACGTACCATTTTTTTATTTAAATTGTCTTCATCAACGTACTTCAGATCAGCGAAACAATAACAATATTCTGATCACTTTCGTCTTTAAAAGGTAAGTGGGATATTTAAACAGTGTATACAAATATTAGAATAGTTGACACAACAATCTTTATAATGCAGTTTGATAACTGTAGGCATAGACCTCATTAGGAACAAAACAGAACGATGCCATAAACTATATCTATAACGAAGAAAGGCATTATTTTGCATACTAAAGGAGGAGTTAAACAAGGGTATGTGTTGCGTCCAGCCTTTTCTAATATCTATGTTAATCGACTTCAGGTAATGATTCTAACGCCCCCAGGTAAAGCAACATACTGTGTGCGACTTCCACAATGCTAGATCTAACATTCATTTTGTATACAAGGTGCACCCGATTTCACATTAACGCCACCGCTATTTGGTAATATGAACGTTAATTTCTATTTGCCAAATAAAATCATCTTGCGCACTCATACGATTGAAATGGTGGCCCTTCGTGGATCACGTTTTTGTGGCATCTCAAAAAATTGGTTCGTTTACTTGTCAGACCGACAAGTGTACAAGAAGATTTATAACCATAGTGTTCACCAAAATAAAACAAATATATCTTTTCATTCATCTGTTTATTTCAAATAAAATAAAATATGATGACATATTTCTTTATGAATAGGATTTCTGTATTTTTGCATGATAATGTTAATGATTTTTTGGTACTGGACAGTTTTGAATATTTAATAGTCTTCCAATATATTTAAACAGTGATAAACGTAATATTGCTACAAATAAAATGTAATTGTTTCTTTCCTAAATGTAATATTTTATACATTTTTTTAATTTCTAAATAATCTGTTTGAGAAAAAGCCATATGTTTCTAAAATGAAATTCATTGAATCACCATAATATATGGGGTTTTTTTTATAAATATTGTGTCAAGTTAATATACGAATTCAAATGATATAAATTTACATTATTTCAGAATAAAGTTTTGAACAAATTCAAATGATATAAATTTACATAATTTCGGAATACATTTTTGAACGTGAAATATTTATATTAAATTATTATGATTTGGTATTGGTAAATATACAATTTAAAATAATTTTATAACAACATCGGAGACAATATTACATTACAAAATAGATATATATATCACATAAGTTTGTTATTTCTTCTGTTGGCGTAGTTTAGCACATATAGACGGACAACTAAAATGAAAGAAAAAAAACAAATTATTATTGTTAGTCATTTACCCGGTACTAAAGAAAATAGTATTCTATTGCAAATAAATGATATATGCTGTACTTTTAAATTCTTTTTCTTTCGACCATTAGCAATGTTGTGTGGGCCTTTCCGCTAACTAATGGACATACGCTTTAACCAACCACAGTGAATGACTGAAGTTTCACTTCAAGTAGAACAAAACTGATAAAGAAGTTGTTAGATATTTATCTATAGTATACGTCGATTGAAATTAAAACCGGAACAAAATAAAAGTTTACTAGTATGGAAACTGATCATCCACGTGGCTATTTCCTATTATATCGACATGGACAAGATCTTCTGTGAAACTATAATGTTTTATAGCATTGTTTGTTTGTTTTTCATTTATATACTCACCTCATCGATGTAACCTCGGAAGTTATTAAGGCTGGTACCACGACCAATCTGTAGAGCACATTGGCTTCTCTTTACTGCACCTGGAAATAAAATTATCATTACAATTTGTATAGCGCTATGTTTCCACAGGTGCTACGGTGGGCTTTACATTTAAAATATATGTATGATGAAATTATTTAAGATAAAATAAATAATTTAAATTTAAAGATGAAGGATAAACATTATAAACATAAAATAAAACATAGTGAATAATATTAACCGAATTTCAATTGAAGCATTTTTTCTCTGATAATTAGAAATCGATAACTGTCTAAATTAAACTTGTGTACTACAATAATAGAATGATTTAAAATTTGGATTGACAGGGTAAGATTTACTTCTAGCTGCCTGTCATGATAGTTAAATTGCTAACGACAATAACTTACCATCAGTAACACTGTGGACTTCATTACCATTAACTGATCCTGATAGAAGTTTACCTTCTACTTTATAGACGAGATTATTCCAGCCAACCTGTAGAAACAATAGTTCAGTGGGTTAGTTTGTGTATTATAAATCAGAACTGCTAGAGGAAAAAATACACAAGCAGTTAAATGATTGGTGTGCGAGATGCAACCCTACTGCTCTCCCATCTCAAATGTATCAGGAAGAAATGTTATTTCGGGTCGTTTTCGGAGAATAATCGGAGATTTTATGTGAAAAAATATGATGATCGGACAAAGTTGATTGATAAATTGACGCAAAATTAGCAGAACACTACACACATGCTAATTTCTTTTAAAGAGTATTCCACTAAACACAAAACTAGACAATTTGATTGGTCGATTGCAATCGCGCGTCTAACCTCGCGGTATTTTATGTGAAATAGAGGTTTGGTGCAATCCGTCACATCAAACATCTACCTCATGAAGAAGTTGACAGATGATGGACACTTCAGCTCCCTATCTCGCGTTAACTGTCACTCAAAGTCGTATTTTGAATAAATTGTCGTAATTAAAGACTATTTATGTTTAATTACATAAATACAACCGGTAATCTATGTATACGTTTTTTCATCAGACTTGGTTGTTTGTATTCGATCTAGTAGAAATGAAATTAACGTCCAACTGTTCTGCTCTACAAGGCGTACGTTAAACAGGGAAATTTTGCCTGGACAGCGGCACTACGGCCTACTCTTATATCGAATTCTAACTATCAAAGATTTATTTACTTGCCAGCCAATGTGTACACGGGACCTCGGTTTTTAGTCCCATCCGAATAACTATACGTTGTCCCTTGAACCACTGCCAAGCGGGAACCACGCCGGAAAATCAACGTGAAATTTCTAGGTCAACAGAGATCGAACCGGGCCTCCAGGTTAGCGAGCCAAAGTATGGTCTTACTCCTCGAGCCACCGTGGCGCTCAGATCGAGTAAAACTTTTTACTTTTATTGTAATATTTTCAAATGGAAATCAACTATTCTGATTATTTAAAAGCTTGCCGCTATAATTCAGGGGTGTGGTGACCCATGATACTGCATGAGGAACAAGATGTAGCATAATGTTGAAAACATTTTCTAGAGGACACAAAAACTCAAATGGGCACAAAAACTCAAAACCATGACGCGAAGCTCGTCATTGCGTCCCTCTCACTTAGTCCCTGCTATAACTACGGTGATCTTTCTTCTAATGATTGTAATTAAAAGGTTTCAAAATAAATGTTCGAATGGCTTACCACAGCGGGAATAGAAACAACTCCGGCTTTACCAGTGACGGTTTGTAGACCAAAGAGTGTTGTGTGTTGATCCAAGGCGATGAGGAGGGATCCTGGTTTTCCACAATCACCATTGGATACAATAGCTTCCTGTCCATAAACGGTGCCATGTTTTCTGTAAGTCACTTTTATGACAAGTTTGGAGCCGAATTCAACATTGGAGAATCTTGGGATTCTCAAACCACTTTGACCGTCAAAGTACGCCACACCTGCACTCACGGTGACACCAATATTCTCAACATAATTACCATTTCCAGATTGATCGCTTACATCATTGTCAAATGGCAAATAGACAATTCGCTTACATTCTGAAAAATAATAATATTACATGTATATTAAAATAAAACACTGTTTCAAGCTTTTCAACTCTTTAACCAAAGCAAATTAAAATCGGAACATCGGTTGAAATACTTAATGTCGAGGTTGGCATCGTTTACTGAACTCTTGAGCCTAGATTTGAGTATTGGAGTAATTTGTATGGTAACAATATATAGGCTCAAAATGCTTTAACAAAAATAAGTGATGTGTGCTATAGAAAAAGTCTTAAAGGACACGGAACATCATAGCATATTCATTTCACGGGGTAATGAAATATATCCACATCAGTGAGATAATCCTCCTGATCGTAATCTGATTCATTGGTACTTACGGTCTGTGACTGGGGTATCGACAGCATCAACCAAAATAGTACATCCACATTCTACGGGGTTGTAGGCAGTACCTGATGCGCATGACATTTGAACCCAGTGATAGTCTGACACGAGTTGTTCAAAGACTCGGTTATTGCCGTAAACAGCTCGTTTGTCACAAACTGAAATTAAAGCATGAAAAAGATTATATTTAAAGGAGCTAAATCTCTAACTCAATATTTTCCATAATTCGAAATTAAAAATACGAATTAGAATTCAATATTAGTCAATTTCAATCACTATTGATATTGTTATATTTAAAACACAATTAACACATTTTGTAATCAAGTTTCGGGTGCCATTTTGTAATGAACAAAAAAAAACATACCCTACAAGATACTGTCGTTCAGTTTGAATTGTTCACTTATTTCACCGAATATAATTGATTAGAAATTAAAATACTGTATTCAAAACTTAAACATAAATCACTTTATACACATTCATATTACATTAATATGTACATTTAGAATCATTTTCGTCTTCAAGGTTCCAAAACAAATAGCCTCAAGCCCTTTAAACTGTTGAACTGTCTACAGTCAGACTATTATGCAGTTTATGCTGTTGATCGCCATTTGCATGCTAGAATCTGCTACAAAATGTACGCAGTTTGAAAATATCAACTTTAGCTAATCTTCCAGGCTGTTTTCAAATCCAATTAAATCAACTAACATCAAAACTGGAGAATTGTGATTGGTCTGGTGCAGACGTGTGTCTACAATTCAGGGTAACGTTGTGTGTGGCTGTGGTGGGATTGGGTGACGTAGTTGATGCCGGATCGTATAAATCACTCTTGGATGTATTCGTGAAAGGCGAGTGTTTGTCCTGACATGACCCAGCTCAGAAAGAGAGATGTATTGTGACATGTAGTTTAACAAGACGATTATGCTTTTCATGCTTTGTCTCATCACTCAACTTCTGACTATCCCATTTACTATTTAAATGGTCAGAGGAACATTTTGTAGTATTCACGAAGATAATTATAGCTTGCCTCTTATCGTCTATTTTGTTTAGCTTATTAGTCTAAACATCTAAATATACCCCTTCACCCCCCCCCCCCCAACCACTGCAAAACTACATAATAAACCATGTCTAAATATATGTCATGATACGCAAAAATTAAAGAACCAAAGCACAATATCTGCTCATGATTACTTACAAGTATTGACGACATCTCCTGAACAGTAAGCATCACATCCGTAGCTATAAACACACTGTCCATAACTGTAAGCAAAACCTTTAGCACAGCACTGTCCAACAGATGAACCGTTGACGCAACCGTAAAATTCTCGACAATTTCCACCATGTTTGTAGGTTTGGGTGAACATATTTTTGCAAGGATCTAAAAGAAAAAACAGTATTGCCATTTAAAACGTTAGTTGGTGGAAAGGCGGCAAAGTCTAATCAGTAGAATATCAGTGATTTGCAAATATCACTTCAGTAAATGCCAAATTTATGCTGGATTTTTTAATATTTGAAAGCATTGATATACATATTATAGGCTCCCTGTTAATATAGATTTATATTCTGTGGTTAAGATAGTTTAGTGAATAATAAATACAGATCTTGTTTTTTGTACATTTATGGTGTTCAAAATGTCGTACGTAACGACTATTTTAAATTTGGATATACAATGACTAATGGATACATAATAAATATGGTAATCAAAGCTAAGATCACATCATGGATAGGCTCCACTACGCATGACTAAAAAGACTCTATACTCACCAGCAGCACACTGGACAGCAGCAGGGTAGTTACAGGTCAAAAGATCCTGGTCCCAGAATAGTCCCTGACCGCATTCTCTTACTACAGAGTTAATGACGCCCTCTAATCCGAACTCACACTGGATGTATTTCTGGCAATCGATGGGATGTGGGTTATAGCCGATACCATTGGACATCTTGCATCCTGAACAAGGGTCGGGTTTTACAGTAGTGGTGGTGGTGGTTGTTGGTGTGGTTGTGGGAATGGTTGTAGTGGGTGCTGGTGTGGTTGTAGTTGTAGTGGTGGTTGTGGTGGTAGCTAAAACAAAAGGTATCATAGTTTTAAATATTATGAATGCGATCACCAGTTAGGTGGCGGTATAGAAACGCACGGTGCCACTTATCATTAACATTCTGGGGATTCTTAAACTATCACGCCCAGTAGCTAAAACTATAGTAATGGGAGTCATTTGGGACATTCACACAGCTAAAAGTTTCTGTTATTTAGAGTGATTGAAGTTCCCAAGTTAGTTTGTTACAAAACATATTTGTCAGTGGATGACAATTTGAAGCTGAATGAAATACTGTATTACTCACTTGGACATACAACTTGTACAAGGTTACTCAAAAGGGACCCAATCTGGTTAAAGTTGGCAGTGGTGAGGACTTGGCCACTTGACGCAATGGATTGGAGTTCAAGGGTGTCAACCTTAGCTCCAACACCAATGGCGACCATATTGATTCCTAAACCTCTGGATAAGGCAGCTTGGTGGGCGGTGGCAACTGGATCCTTAGAAATACCATCAGTAATGACAACACCAACAACTGGAACTCCCGGTCTTCGTGAGGCAGAAACCATGGCATTCATTTCAGCAATAGCAAGAGCCGTATTGGTACCATCACGAGGATGTACGAAACTCTGGATTCCGGAGATGAGACCGGCAGCATTTCCACTGAGGTCGATTCTGGCAGTTACATCTGAACTGAATAAAACGACACCGAAACGTGTATTTTCTGGTTTAACATTCAAATCAATAACCAAAGACTCTAGAGCTGATTTCAACAGGATGAAATCATCAGCTGCAATACTATCCGAACCGTCAACGACTGCGACTACGTCTAATAAACTTTTACAATCTGGGGCAGGAGCTGGAGCCGCAACTGCAAGAAAAACATATCATAAATGAAGTGGTTACTGATTACTAGAATCTTCGATTTATGGATTCAAATTATTAAATTTATTACCACAGCGTTTATGTGGACGTCTTAGTCCTCTGTCATTTGGGGACAATCGACATAACAATGAATTAACAAATGGTGATATTTTAACATCTGATAGTATTTTCTGTGCCCCACAGAAATATTGTATTTATTTCGTAAATTATCGTTATAATAACTCCAAAACTTTAATAATCTATAACACATATTTATGAAAAACAACTTCTAATTTATTTGGGCGATTTTAACCGTATAATGCCTGTCCCATCACTAATCGACTTAATTGAATTCTTATAACTTAAATCAGTGTGGTTTATCGCCCTTAAAATAAATTACTCTTTGGGATATAAAATTCTTATTTTCCAGTGTAATTCTTATTTTCCAGTGTAACTCTTATTTTCCAATGTAATTCTTATGTTCCAGTGTAATATTTTTTTCCCACTGGAATTACCGTATATAAAATGCAAGATTCCTTTCTTTGTCTTTCAAAATATTCTAAATCACCTACCTGGTATATGTTCATATTCATCAGCTCGAACTGATAGAAAACACATCAAAAACACCAAAAATAATCGACAAACCATCTTTATTCTGTAAATTGAAAGAAGAAATGGTGCTTAACTAAAACAAAATCAAAGAATGAGAACTGCTATTCCAGTTTATATAAGGTCGCTAAAAAGATCCATTAATGTAATAAAATAAGAGACAGACGACCCTACTCCTTGTCACGTACAATCGGGAGTCGAAACCATGCCAGTTGAGTCAATGACAGACCTTATGATACAGCGCGCACGTGCTAACCATTCGGACATCCAATCCCCCAATAAAATAATAGAAAATGCTTTAAAAGATTTATGAAAATTGTAATATTGTAACTTTTGAAAATTGGTTAAATAAATAAATAAATAAATAAATATTTTCATAGAATTAAAAATGATAAACACTCAAAATCGTAGAACGATAAGAACTCTAAACTATTTTTTAAAAGCATTTCCGGTGTATATTATATTAATTAATAAGTTTTAACTTAGTATCTAAGCCTCCTTTTACCTTATCGACGAAATTATTATACTGCTATATTCCCGTCTGAAACTCAAGCCAGAAAATGATTTGATTCACTGAAAAATGTTTCGTTTATATACCCTGATCAGAAACCCCTCCCTGCAGAATATAACGCTGACCTCAGATCTAACCGACGCCTGTCCTAAACCTAAGCTTCCTCGTTGTACTCCCACAATAGGGAAAAGGGATATGCTGATTGATTATATTAATGTGCAAATCTGGTAGGCCTGTCTTTCAAGGTGTGTAAAACGTCATTTGTTTTTGGGGTGCATTCGAGCCGTGTCATGATTTGTTTTATTTTATGATAACAAGGTTTTAAGATGTCAGCCAACTCGACTTTTCTCATTAATTAAACGAATGTTGAGAGATTGATGGTTTTCCATCGTTCTGTTTTATTCAAATATTTTTGACTTGTAGTTGAACTTGTTCTCTGGGTATAACATAGTTGTGGTATGCATGAAAACAAATTGTTCAATAAGTGTCTTGTTGCACTGACATATTTTCAGAGAGTCACAGAGATTCAGTGAGTAAGGCGCTGGTTCGATCCCGGTGTTGGCCTAACTCGGGATTTCCAGCTTGGTTTTCCATTGCTTATCAGTGGTACACGACAGACGGCATGGCAGGAAAATGTCAAAATTGCGTCTAGTCTTTCGGTTAGGACGTAAAACCGAGCCGCTTGTATATTATTGACAACAAAATAAAGATCCCCCTACAGTTGAAAATAGCATGTTGTTTATTGTTGGATTTGTTTTCATGGGGATTTTTGGTGGGGGGGGGGGGCTGGGTTAGATCTAATTGATAAGGCCAACTTCAAGTTTGGTCAAGTTTGTAAACAGGGTGGTCCACATTTCGGGGTTTACCGTTCTATATACATGTATAACTAGGTCCTTAAACTGACTTTTGCAATAATTACAAAATTTTGAATAAAAATATATTCGCATAAAACTTGATCTAACATTTTAATAGCGCATCCGATCAACTCATCCAATTAAATTTGAAACAATTCAACGAGGTCCTGTTGATGTTTAGAGCCGTTTCGAGAATTATATACTACTTATGGATATATTAAAATATACGGTTATTGAATTTAAAAAGGGAGCGACGGTGGCTAAGTGGTTAAGACGCTACGGCCTGGTTCACGAAATTTTAACTAAGATAAAATCCAAATTTTAGTAATTTGATTAGATAATATTAGATTGATTCTAGTGCTTAGCCAATCAAAATTGAAGTATCTACTAAAATTTGGATTTTATCTTTAGTTAAGATTTTGAGAAACAGGGGCCTGGCTCGCTAGCCCGGAGGTCGGATGTTTGATCCCTGCATTTGCCGAGAAAGTTGATCTGGTTTTCCGACGTAGTTTCCCCTTGTCAGTGGTGCAGGACGGAGGTTCCATGTCATACATTGGCATGCACGTAAAAGATTCGATATAAAATTAGGCCATAGTGCCCGGGCAAAATTTTCCTTATAGCAAACTGTATGCCGGAGCAGAACAGTAGGACGTTAAACCCCATTTCATTTCCTTTCATTTCATTTTATTTCTGAATTTAAAAAGACATATAATTACTGAATGTCAAATATTTGAGATTTATAATATTAATATAATTTAAATATCTGATAACCAAAACTGTAATTTGACTGGCCCCACATGATATTGTGCAATGTTATTCATCTAAAAAAAAATAAAAAATATAAAAATGAAGGAAAATCCGTTTAGAAATAATGGCATATTTGATTTAATGCCTCTACAATCGTCTGAGTAGTAATAATGATTTTGATTGGTTGATAATTACATTCTTCCCCAAAGTTTAGCATGGGTCATAAGGTACAAGCCTTGTTGATATTTCTGATTTTGACAAATGTTTTCGTGTTTTACTTACTAACGAATTGACCTCAGTTTAATTAGTAATATACTGCCAGCGTGACCTTATTATTAGTATTGACTTGGATAGTTATTGTAAGAATGTGGAGAGAGAGAGAGAGAGAGAGAGAGAGGGAGAGAGAGAGAGAGAGGGGGGGGGGGCGAGAGAGAGAGGGTAACGTCTACTCGACACAAACTAACATATGGTTCATTTGTATTTCACTAATTTGCTTGCACGTAGGGGTCTTTAGCAGTGGGAGAAAACCGGAGGACCCGGAGAAAACCCACGAGGTTGGACAGGCACTACTACTCCTTGTCACGTATCGGGGAATCGAAACCACGCCAGTTGACTCAATGACAGACAGTATGATACAACGCGCACGCGCTAAACATTCGGTCATTCAACTCCCGTAAGAATGTGGTAGATAGGTACTATATTGATATCGAACTATACATTAGATATAAGTATTAATGGTTGCGGTGCCGTACACGAAAATATCTGGGACTTAATTCCAAACCTCTGATTTGTGCCAAAATAAAGTATTGAATTGGGTTAATCAAAAGAGTTATTTCTATTAATCGTTGGGAGAGGGGGTCTTAGAGTGGTCCCAGTGGGTCCAGTACAGATCCGTGGGTTGAGCTACCGAAAATGTTTGCTTTAAATTGTATCCATTGGAAGATATTCAGTGGGCAAACTCCCCGCCTTCTCCACTACGGTCCTTATCGTAATGATCGATAGTCCTCGTATCTGGGAAATAAGCAGCAGTTGTATGAAATTCCAACTGCCAAGGGATCTTTTACGTACATGCCAGTGCATACACAGGACCTCCGGCACCACTGACAAGGGTAAACCACGATGAACTTTCTTGGCCAATGCATGTCGAGAATGATATAGCACTGGTCTCGCGATAGACTGTCCCGGGTTGAGAGAGAGAGAGAGGGAGAGAGAGAGAGATCGAGAGAGAGAGGGGGTTTAACGTCCACTCGACACAAACCAGGTCATTTCGGGACTAACACACGGTTCAATTTTTATTACAATAATTCGTTTACGCGTAGGGAGGAAACCGGAGGACCCGGAGAAAACCCACGAGGTTGTACAGGCGACCCTACTCATTGTGACGTACAACCGGGAAATCAAAACCACGCCAGTTGACTCAATGACAGACCTTATAATACAGCGCGCACGTGCTAAACATTGTACCATCCACCCCTACCCACCGCATGGGCCAAGAATAAACATTTGAATTTAATACGCTAAGGGGTAGCGGCTGCGGGGATGACTAAGGAATGTGTGCCTAGTCTTTAGGATGGGACGAAAACATGTGTGCACATTTGGAGTGAACGTAAAAGAGCCCATGACATTTCGAAAACGAGTATGCTAAGGCATCGCATTCCAGGCAAAATTCCGCTCCTCCCTTTACAAACGTAACCATATATTAGTCTCAGAATAACAGAAGTATTGTTTTGACAAGACTTTAAACCTCATCCCATTCCACTCATTAGGCTAAAGGTTGAATACAGGTTTTTGGAAAGATGAAATGAACGAATGAATGAAATGGAGTTTAACGTTCTTTTTCCTGCATCTACCGGACTAATAAAACCAGCAATTGAATTCAAACTACTCCAGTCTTCATTTTTTCGTCCCACTCCATCGACTAGACGATGTCACTAACAATAAAATATCTGACAGGTAACAGTTAAAGATTAATGTGATCTGACAAAGTATAATTTACGTCAAATATATATTATCACGTGATCCTACTACTACTAGTCTTTACTATTCTATATTTACGCACCCCTGAGATTTCTATGGTTTTTTATTTATTATTTCATCGGTTCGTGCATTAAATCATGACGTACATTCCGTACGTCCTTCACGGAAAGGAAAAAAGAATGTACAAATAAGGCAATAAAAAAGGTTTGTGGAGTATCAGTTTGTCGAGTGTTTTGCATTAACGTCACTGATTGCCATCTGAGTGGCGTCCAGCACCCAGCTAGAGAACTATTCACTTTGAGAATAGTTATCAAGCGGAGAATGTTTGAGTGAGTGTTTGAGATACATTATGCAAGATTAAGATAAAGAGCTGACCGTTCTTGCTATAATAGTTCCAAAATAGTTAATGCAAAATGAATATTTTGAAAATATCAATGCTGCTATATTCGAGGCTTAGCCTCGCTTCTCCAGTTTTAAATTACATCATTAAATGGCAGAACCGTTCTAATCTAGTTAAAATCTCGAGCATCCGATGGCATCGAGAGTTGATTATGGTCATGTTAATAAAATGTCTAGTTAACCATTTATATAACATTTAAGGCTCAAAGAAAGATCTGCAATAGACAAATTTAGCTCTTGAATAATGTATCATTAATCCATTGCAGAAAGAGAGAGAGAGAGAGAGAGAGAGAGAGAGAGGAGAGAGAGAGAGAGAGAGTGATGGGGTTTAACGTCAACTCGACACAAACTAGGTCATTTCAGGACTAACATATGGTTTAATTTTATTTCAATAATTCGCTTGCGCGTATTGGTGTTTAGCAGTGGGAGGAAACAGAAGGACCCGGAGAAAACCCACGAGGCGACCCTACTCCTTGTCACGTACAACCGGGGATTCGAAACCACGCCAGTTGACTAAATGACAGGCTTTATAATAAAGCGCGCACGTGCTAACCATTCGGCCATCCAACCCTCCCTAATCCATTTCAAACTACAGTATAAACCTCTAAAAGGATAAATGAAATGGGGTTTAACGTCCTACTGTTCTGCTCCTATACTGTGCTCATAGAGCTATATATAGAACTCTATGACTGTGCTAATGAACACGGGCATACGCCATACTGTGTGCTATAAGGGAAATTTTGCCCGGGCAGCGACACTAATGCCTACTCTTATATCGAATTCCAACTGCCAGGGGATCTTTTACGTGCATTCCAATATATACACGGGACCTCGGTTTTTCGTCTCATCCGAAGGACTAGACCACTGTCCTTGTCAGGCCATCCGTCCTACATCACTGACAAGGGGGAAACACGCCGGAAAATCTGGATGAACTATCTCGGCCAATGCAGGGATCCAACACCCGACCTCCAGGCTAGCGAGCCAGCGTCTTTCCCACTTAACCACGTGATCCCCCCTAAAAGGAATAAACTTTCAGAAATGCCATGGCTGAATTCTGTTTAGTATAATCATGGACCGTGTATAGATGACAGGCAACGAGTCCTGTTTGTTGGATTCTCTGCCGCTTGCTCGAGACACGGCGAGATCTCAATGTCAACGGCAAATCAAGCAATGTGATTTCTGACATTGCGTGATTTTATACTGATTAATTTTTCGAACTCCTCCTTGGAATTTACGGTATTCTTATAGTTACACGGTAATTTTTCAACCCGATAAGTATTCCTATCCGGTAGTGACGAATTTGTCCAGTTTGAAACTTTTAAATTTCCAAACGCAGCAGTTGAAAATTTTGAAATTATAGATTTCAATATTTTCGTAGGTTTTGTATTGCATTTTGGTTTTGCTTAATACTCCAAATTCCCGTATGTATGAAGGATTTTAAAGTTATGAAAATAAAGTTCAGGTATAATATTGTCCGGAATGATGATTAATTGTGCGGAAGTAAAAATTAAAAGAGTGTTTTAGTAGATTTGTTTTTAAGAAATAGGTCCGAAGTAAACAAAAACGATGTGTTGATTTACACCCCAATCATCAGTTAGTAGTCTATCTATGCATGGGTTTCCAAAAAAAAAGAGCAGCAAGATTAATAAAAATATTATGAATTGATTTCTGTTTCTTTGCTTTTGAACTTAATACAGGTATTTGCGCGAGGGGAGCTAATTTAATTTAGTCACGATTGTCAGGTCTCTCTTTTGCCGCGGCACAGAATTCTAAAGGCTTCGTGGACGTTGCCTGTCCATCTATACACGGTCCATGGTATAATTGACAATGGGTAATTGACAATTTAGCAACATTTGGCATACTCTATAAAAAAAGTCATCATCACCTATAAATGTTGGGTAAGATCTCTAGCCTGGAGATTATCTACCGTTAACACTTTGGTTTTATTTTCTTGATTAAATCTTAAATAATTAAATAATCATTTAAAAGCCTCGAAAAAATTATATACTGTCAATAAAAATGCAAATGCCAATCAGCTGCTTCTGGACCCCACGACCATATCCTTAACGTTTGTGAGGAACTGATTCATAATTGTCTAGCGAAAATTTTATACAGCGGCAACATTCAACATTTGAAAAGAAACTACGAGTATTAAATTATCGGACACAGGGGGTCTTGTGGACCCCCCTCCCTTTCAACATTTTGCTGGTTACAAGTGTCTAATCTGTTCTGCGCTCGGTGCTAGCTTTGTATTTGGAATCTTTCTTGCTGATGATATTGTGTTGGTCATTCTAGTAATAAAGATCTGAAAGCAAATCTAGGTTACCCCTTGTTGCTGACAATGTGTTTCATGGGACGTGTCCGCACAGGGGTTAATTGAATGCTGAATTTTCAGGTTAATGATTGTGTAAATCGTATTCTGGTATTGATGTATTAATTGTTGTTTCTTCTTCGGGCGAAAGAGAATTTGAGAGTTTAGCTACAAAACTAGCGAATAGACTTCCATATTCTATTCGCAGCGATCAAATTTTAAAGTAAGCCTTAAAACTCATCTGTTAGAAAAAGCTTTTGATTAATCATTTGAATCGTGTCAATTCATATTTTACTTTGAAAATTTGCGATATATTTTACTTTTGAATATTTGTGATCTGTTACTTCATGCATTCATATATTTACCATTTCTTGTTTGTAAACGGCTTTGAACACTATTTATGGAAATGGCGCTATATAAAAATTCTTAATATTTCATTTTGTAGTCCATTTTTCGGACAATGTATTTCCGCTTTTCGGGCACAAATATCAGAGAATGAGATCATTATGGTAGAAATATAATTGTAAAATGAAATCGTTTGCGGTTTACATTTTGAATACTATAATACTTAAGTGGGGCTTTGTGGAAAAATCGTTTTAGTTAATGATTGATTCATTCTGAAAATTCGGATGAAAAAGAAAATTTTCGGGCAAATAATTTAAACATACATTATGCAAGAGCTAAATCTGTCTATTGTCTTACTTGAGGCCTGAAATGTTATCTAAATTATTAATTAGACATTAATTAACCTATCCAGACCATAATCAACTCTAGATGGCATCGCTAACCTGCGATCTTTAGTGGATTATGAGCCGATTTACTGCATAACTTTCCTTCAGGATTTAACGATTAAATGGATAATCGAGACTATGCTGTTTATCGTACTGACTTTAGTAATGATGATTGAGGCTAGGTGGAAATTTCAATTGTTAGTTCTCGGTTCATAGTGGATCAATTTGAATGAAATTTTCAGCAAATTGCCTTTACATTATCTAGTTTTTAACTATTAAAGTGAGAACTGCCATCTCATTATCAAATCTTCCATAATGTATCTTTAATTTCCAAGTGGAAACAACATTGGGAACACCGTGGCCACGTGTACACATTGGTTGTGCGCATAAAAGTACTCTTGATAGTTAGAATTCGACAAGCGGAAACGCAGCTATCAGGAAAAAATTCCTCATAGCACCTTCTCCGTCTCCATTAGTCCAATCGGGGGTGCAGAAAATTTGTCGGTGTATACATCAGCGAGGGACAACGTATAGTTTGGATGGGACGGAAAAACGAGGTCCCGTGTACATATTGGCGTGCACGTAAAAGAACTGTTGACAGTTGGGATACGAATTAAGAATAAGCTGTTTAGCCATTGTCCGGGCAAAATTTCCATCACAGCTCACTGCATGTCGTAAGCCCAATGGGAGCAGAACAGTAGGACCTTAAACCCCATTTCATTTCATTTTTTTCAGCAGTAGGCCTGGGTATGGTGTGGGCATGTTTGAAATGTCAGTGTATTTTATGTCCTGTCCATAGGTTTGTTTTCTGTAACTGTTTACGTACGGATTTGACACCCGATTAGTTTGAGGGGAAAAAAAACCCCATCAGTTCCTAAATTTAACTAAAAAATGGCTGTGCCGATTTCTTTCCAATGGGATCACAAGGGTGTTTGGACTTTGAACAGATGAGTCAATATGTGGTTAAGTGAGTAAGACCTTAGCTCGCTAGCCTGAAGGTCGCGGTTTCACTCCCGGTGATGCCCGAGAAAGCTTATCAGGATTTTCCAGACAGGATTCTCCTCATCAGTGGTGCAGGATGGAGGTCCTGATAAGGACAGCTGTCTAGTCATTCAGATGGTACAAAAAAAAGAGGTCCTGTGACAGTTGGAATTCGATATAAGAGCTGGCCATAGTGCCGTTGTGAGGACAAAATTTTCCCATAGCACACTGTGTTGCTAATGCCCATCTTCATTAGCCCGGAGCAGAGCAGAACAGTAGGACATTAAACCCCATTTCATTTCATTTTATTTCAATATACATCCGCACTAAATGTGGATGATTAATAATTTTTACTAAGTTTAAAGACAATATCAATATATATCTTTATTTTTGAAATATCAATGTTTTTAAAGAAAATATCCATGTTTATTTTTTATTTGGATTTAAAAACAATATGGATGTATATTTTTTATTTTTATTATTTTGATTTTGATTTATTTGATTAATGTATATTTATTTTGATGTATATCGATGTATATTTTTACTGCATTTCCATCAGGTGTTTATTTTTTAAGCTGTTCCACCAAGAAAAGAAACACTGACTTCATTTTCATTAGGTAGTAAGTCCACATGCCATGCAAACGGAAAACATACTGAAATATACAGACACATCATTATAAGAACAGTTTCAAATTCATTGAGCAAGCTTAAAAACCACTTTCCCCAAACAGATAAAGCAACATAGTAAAGAGAAATTAACTAAGGCAAAAAACATATAGGGAACAAATTAATATACTTTATATGTTTGTTTAGTTTTGAATAATAGTTGATTTCACTATTCATAACAGATATATAAAAAACCCAGATCAAATTCCATTAGTTTTTATTTGAAAAACTATTCAGACTGCATAAACTATAATCTAACAATGTGAATTCAAACATGGTGTCCCTGTAATCAGAGAAATGGGGTTTAACGTCCAGTAGACACAAACTAGGTCATTTCAGAATTAACATATGATTCCCTTGGGCGTAGTAAGGGTCTTCAGCAGAGGGAGGAAATTGGAGGACCCAGAGAAAACCAACAAGGTTGGACAGGTGACCCTACTCCTTGCCACGTACAACCAGGGAATCGAAACCATGCAAGTTGACTTATGATACAACACACACGCGCTAACCATTCGGCCATCCACCCCCCTCCCACCCCACCCTCCCTGTAATAATCACACATAATTTATCTTGTTTACTTACAGACATCTCCGGGTTCTGTTTTAACTTGGAACGAGGAACAACTCTGCCCACATCCAGCTCGAGGTGTAAATAATAATGTACGAGAACCAGTGCCTTGTATATAAAACAAATCGCGACTTCTAGCTTCATCAGTCTAAAAAAAATAAAATATTTTACAGCTGTTTGTCAATATTTCACTCGGAAAAGTACTATACAGTAGAAGACTTTAATGGGACAATCAACCAGAAAGAAAAGCAAATACACAGATCCAGATCAAATACAATTAATAATATTCTTACTAAAGTTGGGGATCACGTGGCTAAGTGGGTAAGATGCTGGCTCGCTAGACTGGAGGTCGTGTGTTCGATCCCTGCATTGGCCGAGAATGTTCATCCAGATTTTCCGGCGTGGTTTCCCCTTGTCAGTGATGCAGGATGGAGGGCCTGACAAGGACAGCTGTCTAGTCCTTCGGATGATACGAACAACCGAGGTCCCGTGTATACATTGGAATGCACGTAAAAGATCCCTTGGCAGTTGTAATTCGATATAAGAGTAGGCGATAGTGCCGCTGCCCGGGCAAAATTTCCCTCATAGCACACTGTATGGCGTATGCCCGTCTTCATTAGCCCAGCATAGGAGCAGAACAGTAGGACGTTAAACCCCATTTCATTTCATTTCATTTCTTACTAAATCATTCAATTGAATCAATTATAATTGATGTTATTGACATTTGAAGCATTTACATCAGTTTCTTTTGATTCCACTCACCATCTTTAAGCATCTGACATTTAACATAGATATGGAGGGCATAAAACCCATCTTTGACCTTCCATTCCAGAGTTACCCCCCCCCCCCCCCTTTCACTGAAGAGGCTACAGTTTTTAACTGATTTCTTTCATATTCGGTGTGAAGCATTGGGGTTATGACAGGACAAGCCTATCGACATTGAGCGTTCTGTGACTTTCCGTTCTTCTATCCCCCTCAGTCTCCAAATATCTTCTCAACACAACTGAGACTACAGTTTTAAAGGGACAATAACACTCTTGCTGGCTTGAAAGCTCCAGAAAATAAATAATATCTCTATCTAAGTACTAGATGTTTAAGTGTCCTACCTGTTGTGTAAATTATCCATTACATCGTATTTTACTTGTCCAGAGGGTTCGAAAATATTTTTAAATCGAAGTTTAATTTGAAAAGGTTTACGTTAGACGTTTCAAACCATTATGTTGAATTTTTCAAAATTTTTAAATAAGGTGTGTTAAGATGAAATTTGTATCATCAATTAATTGAAATATTCTAAAATAGTACAATTTGTTGACCAGAATAAAGATTGGGACATATTATTCAGTTACAACAAGAGTGGTATTGAGCCTTTAAAAGATTACTTTCAAATTTGGTTCCTCGCCTTCCGAAATCCTTGTGAACTTGATAAAGAATACAGTTTTCAACAGATTGATTGGTTTCAAATTTGGTCTGATGCATTTGAGTCGTGAGAGATAAAACCCTATTGGATAAGCTGCTGTGTGGGTGTTTTTTCCAAGCTTACTTTGACTATCTTTTCAAATATTGATCAGTTTTTACTGGTACACTCACCAATGATTCACCTTCAGATCCTGGCCCAGATATAAATAAGAATTTCTCAATGACAACCTCAAACTTCTTAGGAAAAACACATGGTCTTGGAAATAATCTTTTTAAGAACTGACTGGTTCCCATCCTACGACTTATCCTGTAAAATATAATAAGTTATTGTCAAAAAAAGTTGAAAATCAACAGCCCTTAAAACATCCACAAACAATTGGGGACGTCAAATGGACAGACTGTCCTATAGAATGTGTTTCGTTCTGTTCAAAAGTGATTATCGGGCCAAGACTGTTTTTTCTGGAAGTATTCCTATTCTTCATTCAATAACAAAGTGTTTCCTCCAGGAGATCAAAATACTTGATTAAATTATCTGTTATAGTTACTGAACGAGTTGGAAACAGTGTGACGTCCATTGTTCCTGATGACATTTATATCTTGCGTAGGTATAGACAGGCACTAGATCTATCTGTCTATACCCCACATCAGATTTGACAAAGATGCGTGCATGTAAACGATCCCTGGCAATTGGAATTTGATATAAGAGTAGGTTGTAACGCCGCTGTTTGGGCAAAATTTCCCTAATAATAGCATACTGTATGGCGTATGTCCGTCTTCATTAGCCAAGTTGGAGCTGAACAGTAGGACGTTAAACCTCATATCGTTTCATTTAAAGCGAAAGATGCATGCGTGAAAGCAGTCAATGATCACAGCTTGTAATAGCTGTGCAACAGTTTATTTATTTGTTAAAGAACTGGACAGCTAAATTATATTTGAAAATCGTGCAGCTCAAGACAATAGATTTGTCAATTCAAGAACTAAAATTGTAGCTTTGTCAAATTGTGACATTTACTAATGCTCATCTTTGTTATGGTATTACTGACATTTTTTAATATAAATCGGATGACAACAATTTAAACCTCTTCATGACTAGCAATTGTTTGCTCTAAATATTTATTTTTTGTAGTGAATGTCCATAAACTGCGTGGAACCGCTACACTTCTTCTTTTGTCCAGTGTTGTTAATTCTGTAAAGACAGGGGCTTGATTCACGCAAACTTAAACCAAAATATTTTAAGGATACAACCAATTCATTGGTTGAGAGTAGAGATCCTAGCACAAACTTTAGCTCTTAGCCAATGAAAGAGCAGAATTCTTAAAATAATTTAGTTTAAGTTTTCGTAAATAAGACCCCAGTAAAATATAGATATGACATACCATTTGATGTGAAAGTTTTTATCATTAGTTATATCCTCTAATATACCTGGCGAATTTAAATCCTTGAGAGATTTTACCCAATCAACAGATGAATAAAGAGCCAATGAGGAATCTTGTAACATTTCTTCACGTTGGATTAAATTCACGATATCCATTACACTAATAACATGATTCTGTAAACCCTGAAAATACAACAGACATCTGTGAAAATCATTAATATAAAACACTTTGAAAAGGAATGGCATAGGTTTTAAAAATTGACACTAAAATATCAGCCCCCCACAAAAAACAAGTTTCAATTGACATTATTTTTTTTAACTTTGCCTCGATCATATAAAAATATCAATGAAAACACAGAAATAAAGACACAATCTGTACCAGATTAATAAACTCCCAACATAGCTGGATTTTCAAAGTCTGAATTTTGGTAAGAAATTGTTAATGACAGGTGGCTTATTTCCATGCCTGTCACCAAAATTGTCAGGGACAAATTCCAGTCAGGCACATCTCTCTGGTGCCTGTCAATTTTCCTGGAACAGATGTCTTTTTGTGGCTTTATTGATTTTATTAATACATGTCTGGCACATTTTTGGAATGAGCAAAATTTCTGATTTGTAATTCTTGCAGTATAGAATGTAAGTTTGTTTTAAAAGTACATGTAAGTGGACTCACTCGGAATAAAATAGGTTTCTGGAAAATATTTTCCTCTAATTGCTTCTCTCGTTTTAATTTGGTTAAACGAACTGAATCAATTCCTTCACATATGAAACAATCAGCTACTTCTTCCTCAAAGTAAGGATTTCCAATCAGACATTCTTCATTGTGGTAGGCTACATAGAAAAGAAAATATAGTCCTTTGATTTGAACAGCTTGTGAATTTTCAACAAAATTTCTACCCTGGATTATAGTTCAGATTTGCAAACTCAACCTATAAAAAATTTGTGTCCCCCAGATATTTAATTTGCGACACATCAGAGACACACAGTAAACTCTGAATTGTTGACAACTTTACATATTTAGATGTAACTGCCATGCACAATCTATTAGTATAAGGTCTATCGGATTAAATGATGTTTCGACCCCTCAACATTTCGACTCACGACAATCTGTCTTAACAAAACTATGTTCTCAATGCTACGGATATGTAAATGATGATGATCACTGTCTATCTTTTTGTACTTTTTTGGGGAAATACGAACTTTGAGATTATGCGGACGAATTTTCCTATGTTTACAAAATAAAACAGAGCACTGCTCCGAGAGCAGCAAGCTGGGGGTCATAAAATGCCTGGATGATTTTATTATCCACATCCAGATTTATTAGTATAGAAATTTATTACTGGGAGTAGCAATTTATTGTTAATTTTATATTTTGAAAAAATTTTCGTCTCCTTTTATGAGTCTCTTACACATTCAGTCAAACCAAAATGAGGCCTACAAATCAATATTCAACTGTGTCATTTAAACATTGCATAAAAGTACTTACTACTTTTCGACCTAACAGGGTGTAATAATAGATTTCCTAATGCTGATTGGGCCGAATTTTTTATGCCCCCCCCACCCATCCCCTGGGAAAATATGTTTGTGCGTCCCTGATAAAAGTATTGTTAAAAAACGGAGAATTATTCTGGAGAATTTATTTGAAAATAACCTACTCAAAACTAAAGGCAGCACATCTGATTAACCGATATTCTCAATATTATTGTAGTACCGGTACGGTAGGTCTATGTGAAAAGACATTAAATATTTCAGTTCTTTGAAGTTTGAGGCAAAACGCAAGTTGTCAATCATCGATAATCGCGGCTGTGTGTTGATTGCAATTATTCTGTTTCTTGTAAAAATAAAAGGACATTTAAGCTTACAAAGTCAATTAGCTGCTGAAACACTCTTAAATAAGCCAATCCACACTTAATAAGAAGCTACTTTAATATAAAAACACATTGGTTAGCTAATCTCGGCTCGTTTTCTACTTGATATAACAAAACAACAATGTATTACTAAATATTTACACAAATTTTCAACAATATTTTATTTATTCATCTTCATCGTTTATTAGGCCTATTCAATTGTCCGAAATCTTGTTTTTATCAAGTCTGACTGGTTGTAAAATAAGTTTGAACCGTGGTTAGATTGAGTCCGGACCGGCGTATGCGTGGCGAGTCTTAACAGTCGCCTGACCAAAACATTGTGATACCTCACATCCTTGTACATCTACAATTCAACTATTAGTATTGGGACATTGGCAGCTTTATAAAGTTTATTTAAATGTACATGGAAGTTTATATCACTAACAAATTTTGTTATAATATATGGAAAATTCTTTTTAATAACCAAAATACACCTGATGAAGTAATAGCAAGAATGAAGAAACCCATATACTACATAGTACATGTATGATATGGCCAATAGGCCTTTTGGCTTCCCATTCATGTTGTGACTTGCCCTCTTGTAGACTCACTGACCTATATTTATACTTACTGCTGATGTTATATCTTGCATGAAGTGGTAGAGCAGCCAATCTTATCACTCTCAAAATGTGATAGCCATAAGGTTGTAAAACTCTTCCAACAGTATTAGATATGTAGTCTGTCTGGGTTATCATAAGGGTAAATCCCGACATAAGAATGACGAAGGCAAGCCATACTCGGAAAGCAAACCGGATCTTGCTCCATTTCGTCTGTGATTGTAATTTCTTGGCGATCTTTTCAGTGATACCGATTTCTAGTTTTGTTTTAAACGCCGAGTCAATGCATGAATTAATTTCCACAGATGTCAGGCCCCACTGTTCGCCTAATTGGCGTAATTCAGTGACTTCTCTTCGAACTTCTTTTAGGACAGAAACGTCTTCCATCTTGGATTTTCTTCGCGCTATCTGGAGTTATCTTCCTTCACCAGCAATGGGACGGAGACTTATTAACCCTTTGGGGCCCACTGAACTTCATATCTGCACTAGTGGTGCAGAATACTGCTGATTATGGGACAGACACTGATCACTGATGGGACATGACTATGATGAATATGTACTAGCCGAGTCTGTGGTTCTTTTTGTAGAACCGGGAGGTGTCATTTCTCAGAACAAAATGAAATAGGGGTTTAATGTCCTACTAATTCTGCACTAACCAGGCTATAATATAACAAGCCAACAGTGAGGCTGATGTCCCCCGCCGAAATAGGAAAATAATTAGAGGACACATATAAATTTATCACAAATTATCTTTTACAAAGTATTGAACAATCAAACAGTATATCTTTACTTATAGTCTAAGCATACAATGTTTTTGATGGAATAATTATAGCATATTAAGGGGAAAACATGCTCTATGCCTACAGATCTAGAGTTTGGTTGTATCAACGGGTCTATTTTCCATCTTGCTGCAAGTTGTGCAAAGTTCACTGTTTTCTTTCTGTCATTAAATGTCAATTCATTATTGCATACTACATATTTAATTAATTTATAATAGTTTCTTTTTCAATTTGTTTTTTCTGCTTACCATAAGCGCAACGGACAGACAGACAAACAGACAGACGGACGAACCCATTTTAATAGTTCCCTGCTTTCTTCGAAAGGCGGGGGACAATCAAAGTAGGAGAGTTATTGTTTTCCAAAGTCTCGACCAATCAAATTGCGTATCGCTCTGCTTACCCTGAGCAGAAAATGCTCATTATCAAACTTAGTCAAGGTATTACTGTAATGAAACTATACACCAAGTTTCATCAATCTCACTTAATTAGAACTAAAGTTATCGTGTCCCAAAGCATCAACCAATCAAATTGCTTATCTCTGCTTACCCTAAGCGGAAAATGCTCATCTTCGAACTCCATCAAGACATTGACCTAATCAACACATACACCAAGTTTGAACATTCTAGCTCAATTAGGAAGAGAGTTATCGTGCCCCAAAGTATCAACCAATCAAATTGCTTATCTCTGCTTACCCTAAGCGGAAAATGCTCATCTTCGAACTCCATCAAGGCATTGACCTAATCAACACATACACCAAGTTTGAACATTCTAGCTCAATTAGGAAGAGAGTTATCGTGCCCCAAAGTATCAACCAATCAAATTGCTTATCTCTGCTTACCCTAAGCGGAAAATGCTCATCTTCGAACTCCATCAAGGCATTGACCTAATAAACACATACACCAAGTTTGAACATTCTAGCTCAATTAAAAGTTATCGTGTCCCAAAGCATCAACCAATCAAATTGCTTATCTCTGCTTACCCTAAGCGGAAAATGCTCATCTTCGAACTCCATCAAGGCATTGACCTAATCAACACATACACCAAGTTTGAACATTCTAGCCCAATTAGGAAGAGAGTTATCGTGTCCCAAAGCATCAACCAATCAAATTGCTTATCTCTGCTTACCCTAAGCGGAAAATGCTCATCTTCGAACTCCATCAAGGCATTGACCTAATAAACACATACACCAAGTTTGAACATTCTAGCTCAATTAGGAAGAAAGTTATTGTGTCCCAAAAAGTGTGACGGACAGACAGAAGGACGGACAGACAGACAGACAGACAGACAGACGGACGAACCCATTCTAATAGTCCCCTGCTTTCTTCGAAAGGCGGGGGACAATGAAGATGGACCCATGCTGTGTGCTATGTGGAAATTGTTCCCCAAAAAGCACCAATTCCATCTACTCTTCATCAAATCCTAACTGTCAAGGACTCTTAAGTGCAATCCAATCAGTATAAAAAGGACCTCATTTTTTATACACTATAATCCCATCTGAATGACTAGATACTGTTCCTTGCCAGGCCCTCTGTCCTATGCACATACTGACATGGGGAAAGAACATTGATAAAAATTCTTGGCCAACACCGAAATCAAACTCTAGACCTCTTGGTTTGTGAGCATACAATATATGAGCCAGCACCTTATACATTGTACACTGAACCACAATGGCTGCTCCTTACACCTCTAGCTGATGGTCAACATGTGTATATGCTAAGTTTTAACCCCAGATTCAGCATTTTCTTTTTATTTTGAGTTTTGAATTTTTATTTTTTGTTGGGGTCATAGCTTGGCGCTTCCACACCTGCATCAGAAACAATCCAAAGTCACTTGTTGAGCATTTACAAGGTTTCTGTAACAGGGTCAATAACTTAAGCAAAAGATAGGTTGCTAGGCAACGAAACATATACCCACAGCAGCTAAATCGTCCGAGCGGTCGACAAGGGTTATCGCATATTTATTCTTTTGTAGATAATTGATGGCATTTACAAGACAATTTCATACAGATCACATTATAATTTTCGTCTTTTGAGGGTCCACAAGGCTCTACAAACTGAAACAAGGGACTTAACTCTGGAAGTAATTTACAGAAATTGTTGAAATTCAACAGGCTTTTTTATTTTACTAATGCATATAAATTTCATATAGATCTTGTGATAACAGGGCCAATAAATTTAGAAGTAATTGACGGAAATTGCAGAAATTCAATAGGATTCATCATACAGATCAGAAATTTTTTTTGTCATAAGGCTCAACATAGTGAAACAAGGGCCATAACTCTAGAAGAAGTTAACGGAAGAAATTTAAAAGCCTTCTTCGTTACACTAATCTAAATGATACATACAAATTTCATACAGATCAAATGATAACTTTTGTTACAACGTTCACAAGGTTCAACAAAGTGGAACAAGGGACATAACTCTAGACGCAATTAACAGAAATCGCTGAAATTCAATAGTCTTCCTTTGTTTCACAAATTTAAATGATGCATATAAATTTCATATGGACGGGGGTGACAGCAATATACGACCACTTTTCCATGTGGGCATATAAAAAGATTGTTCTACCTATACTATTCGAAAAAGAATTATTTTATAATTAATTAGTTTGTTGACATACTGATGGTGGAACAAATAAACAATGTGGGCTTACAATGAAAAACGCTTTGGCAAATGATACACGTGTATTCATTTTAATAAATAAATCTATCCTAATAATTTGAAAATAAAATAAACAAATCATTTTTGAAGTAATTTCAAACTGGAAATAAAATTTTGACATAAATGTATAACATTTACATATTATATCAAATATTGTTTCAAAAATGTTATTTTCTTTCCAACATGAAGGTGCAATTCAAACAAAGGGAAAACTGTATGGACAATATATATATAAACATATATAAATGAAATGGGGTAAATATAATCTATAAATAAAATATCTGAATAAATTATGGATATCACAAAATTGTAAATATAAAAAATAATAGTATTTAATACTTCATCTTTTTTTTGACAGAAAAATAGCATTTAATGACTAAATGTGGTATACTTTTCTAGGAATATGGTCCCCACTGCACAACTCATCTACAGTACACATTTTTACAAGTCAAATCATTGTTTCTCAATAGCATTTATCCAAGTCAAAATAAACAGTAATTGTATTCCATAGAATTCTACTCTAAAATCTAAACAAATTGACATACGTGTATACTATACATGTATGTCAATTTGTTTAGATTATAGAATTAACAACTTTTAAGACTAGACTTTCATAATCAATGTTTTTGGCTTATAAAATAATGTATATCTAACAATATGTAATGTCTATATACAGGTACACAAAAGATAATTCTATGGAATACAATTACTGTGTATTTTAAAATAGGCTTTTCTAGTCTTTGTCAAGCAATGATAAAACTTAAGATATGAAAGGACAAATTATATACATGTAAAAACAATATCAGTGTTTACATGTAGTTAATGATGGTTAAATCTTGTCACTAATTACCTCCAAGGACACCGAAAATAATTTATGTAAAATTATTATGGAAATGTTTTGTCTGCGACAACACTCTTGATGGAAGAAAAACATAATGTTCAGTCGCATGAACGATCGGCACTGCTTGAAGATGATTACCGGTACGTCTACGGTAATGTCAAAGATTTTGTAATACCAACTTCTGAAGCGATAATAATTGATGAAATTATAATAATATGCAATATAATATAGACAACTTTTATCTGGAAACCATTGAGGGTTTGCAGAGTCAATGTCTTATCGTGAGTTACAATGCAAGTCCTAAAAGCATGATGCATGTACATTTAGCCTATGTAGATTATATTTAGCAAAATTTGCTGTGCACATCAAAATTGACATCGTGAAAATATTCTCAACTGAAAGGAAAGCCCTGGGTTACACAAAATAATGAGTCACTTTTTATTATGTTTCAGCAACTTGCTTCTGTGCAGGTGGATTTACATGTATGGCAAACACAGCAAAAAGAAAATAAAGTACCCAGAGAAAACCCTTCAAGCTAGTTTTATTAGGGGAATCTAGATCTTGTGAAGTGCAACTGCAAGTGCAAACATTAAACCACTTGGACACCCACCCCATTTAATGTCTAAAAAGAGAAACAATGCACCTTAATATAAGACCCATTACAATCTGGGTCGCGCCATTAAAATCAGAATCTTATGGGCAAAATTGGTCTCAGATACTTGTTACATACACAATTGGTCAATAATATATTTATATTTCCATATTTTCCACATTTGGTCTTTCAATTTGATAATTTTCTACAATCCACTTCAGTAAATTATTGAGATTTTTTCCAGTTTTAGCACTGACACTGAATATGGAAACTTTTTGTGTGGCAGATTCTAGTACTTCATCAAGTCGTAGAACAGTTTCTATTTCACTTGATGACATCACAGTCATCATATCTATCTTATTAAAAACAATCGCAACGGGAACGTTAACCTCAGATGACGACATCATTGTTAACAACTGAATACATGCTGATGCAATCTGGAATCGATTCGAGACATCAATCACAAAAATAATCGCTGAGGTGTCTTTGTAATATTTGTTCCAAATTGGTGCCATGGAACCCCCAAGTTCACGGACGGTCAATTCACTATTTCGTCTACCTGTGATGATATTGATGATATTTGTGCCAACTGTTGGAATGGTTGATGGAACATCATCCAGGTTTTCTATTCCACCTTTTCCACTAAAATTATGTGCTTGAAGTCTTTTTAAAATCAAGGTCTTTCCAGATCCTGTTGGTCCTATGAGCAGCACCATTTTCTATCAGTCTGGTTAATCAAAGCTACATGCATGTGTGGTTAACCAGTCTTGATTTCTGTAAAAAAAAAAAATGCCAGAACCGAACTCATCCAATATCTATGACAAATAATACATATATTTTAAGGTTCATCTAAATTAAATGCTTTGCCACTGTTTGCATAAAGGGGTTTGGGAATTTAACAGGAAGTTAAGGTTAGATTTTCACCAAAATTGACCTCATCCAGGATTTTTGTGCACTAACCTTTTTAAGTTTCACCAAAACTAAATAACGAACTGTGACATCTAAAGTGTCCACAAGGAATGTAAACAGATGAACAATGGCAACCACATCATACATGTACATTTACATGAAAATATGGGCATATAAAAATATCTCCTGGTTTACATAACGGACTACCGGTAATCCTTTTGACTCCTTACATGTACATGAATTTAATCATGTCATTGTGAATGCAAGCCTTTTCCTGAAACTAAAAGAATAGCTGGATAATCAATAGATAAATGTTCCTTGTTCAAGATGCAGGTGTTACCATAGTACATTATATACTAAGCAGCAAAAGCAACGTCAGGTTGATATGTTACTCATGACAGCTCAGAGGAACCAGGCGCTTGGAAGACTCGTCGCTGGCCACACTGCCCAAGCCATTGCCAATCACTTCCAGGTCAATGTTCGGACCATCTACAGGCTTCAACAACGCTTTCGGGCCACCAACACCACGGATAATCGCCCCCGAACAGGTAGACCAACGGTTACCACAAAGCGACAAGACCGCCATGTTGTGCGACAGTACATGCAGAATCCCTTCACACAGGCATCTGAGACAGCACGTCAGGCGTGTGAACACTCAGAAGACCCATCAGTACCGATACAGTGCGTCGTCTCACCAGAGAGAACATCCATTGTCGTAGACCTTACCATGGGACCGATCCTCACCCCACGCCATCGACTCGAACGTCTATAGTTTGCCCAACAACACCAGAACTGGCAACACAGGCAATGGAGAACTGTTCTGTTCACAGATGAGAGTCAGTATTGCGTATCAACTGCAGATGGCAGGACCAGAATATGGTGTTGATGTGGCGAGCATTATTCTGAGCAATGTGTCATGGAATGAGACTCATGGGGAGGTTCAAGCATAATGGTTTCTGGTGAAATCGGCTTGAACCAGAGAGTGGGTCCTGTGGTGTTCCAAATCTTGGTCCAGGGAGAGGAGGCGGCATCACAGCCGTGTGCTACAACGTTCAAGCTCTCAGACCCATGTCATGCCACATTTCGCACGTCATCGAAACAACGTTTTCCAACGCCTGTGCCAACACCGCCAGAGTTACTCGGGACTTTCTACAGCAGAACGGTGTCAATGTTATGCACTGGCCAACCCTTAGTCCGGACTTAAACCCGATTGAACCTCTTTGGGATGAAATTCAGAGGAGACTTAATAACGTCGTACCGAGAGCAAACACAGTCGATGGATTGAGCCAGGCTTTTCTGAGAGTGTGGTTCCAGGTGCCAACATGGCTGTACTGCTGTTATTGACACTTGCGGTGGACACACCAGATACTGATGTATAGACTGTGTACAGACTCTAAACCTTCGCGTAATGTCTTGGAATTGTGATGAATTAATCACTAATGTGTCAACATACTGTTCACAAAAAATTGCTTTGATCCATTTTATGTAATAATTGTTTATGTATGTGGTATCAAAATTGACAGTTTTGTCCGTTAATTAAAGTACAGCAAGAATTTTCGTTTACGGTAACATTCCATTCGTAAATATGGAATATTGGCCGAGCGCACCTATGAACCCATGACATTCAATTGAAACGAATCTTGTTTGTGTTTTTAACCCACGGTGGGGGGAAATGCCTTATTTTCATCATATTAGTTGTGTGCAAGGCCCATCAATACTGAGCCACGATACTGAAACCAAACACATGGAGCGAAATTGAGACCTAGCTCTTATAGTCTTGGTAGCGAGCTAGCAATTATTATGCCCTTATTGAATACATTAGCCTTCAATTACATGGTTGATGTAGCCCCTACTAGTACTGGCCCTACTGATTTTGTACAATGGCATGCAATCAAGCGTAACATTTTTTCTAACTGAATAATGACAACAACTTAATTCTAAGTGATGTCATACCTATTTCATCAATGCAAGCCTAACGGTACTTTGGCCCGTCGGATAGAGCTTGTGGGTGGGGGGACATGTGTAGCCAACACCTTGAAATTCAAGTTGAATTACAAGTTGTACTGTCTAGAGTACTACTCTAGAGAGAGTAGTGTTGCCTAGTCAAAATTATCAGATTTAGCAAACTCAAGTTGAACATTCAATTGACATTGATTGATGTGATGCGTCTGTCACTCTATCAGTCACTTTCCCATGACAACTTACACGTAACAGAAACGCCGAGGCGCTCACTCTCTGCGAATATCACTCAGTGAAATTCATCAAAATGCACGTTGTGAACGTTACCCAGACACATACTTGCCGTCTCAATATTCTGAGGTCAATTTGCAAACTAACCGATAAATGATGTTTGACCGAGGATATTTCTAAAGTTAACGAATGAAAAATGAGAAACTACAAGCATATTGAGATTAGCTGAAATGCAAAACTCAAATAGCATTCTTAATTGCGTTTTCATACATAGTCACTCAAAACCAATGTCGATCTGACGTCGTTTAATTTATCGGTTAGTAAACACCACCCTCGTCGTAAACAAACATGGCGATGCTAGAGGTATAGAAAATGCGATCGTCTGCAATAATAACGACAAACTATTGTTTAGCCACGTGACTTTTTAACTAGAGGTATGTCAGTGTATATTGAACTTATCTTTTAAAATTCCATGTATTTTTTTTATTGTGGCAGGCCATGTCATTTCTCTTAAAGTGGACTAGGCTATGTCTCGGTTGCTTCTTTCGTCTTGATTCATGATGCAGTGACTGAATGACGAACCGCGGCAGGTTTCGCGAATTCTAGGTCAGCTGATCGGGAGATGGTCGGCCGTAATTTAATCCGCTCGCGACCACGGATCTCCTGTATAGCCGCATTTTTGTTTTGTTGTTGAAACTGTATTATGAAAACGGGTTAATATTCAATTTTATAGCATTAAATTAAAGAAAGTAGCCATTATAACACACGACCAATTCGGCGTTTGTTCGGCTGAACGCAGATCGTGAGAACTATGAAGTGTCAAATGATGGGAGGCGCAACGTGAGAAATTGGCATTGAGCCAAGTCTGGTTTTCAAGCTCAGCGCGGCTGGTTGATTAGAGAGATTGTTAGTGGTGGATAACAGTTCACTGCGACCTGTTTAGGCTATAGCAAAGTCTAACTTTAAAAGCCAGTCTGTTATTTTTTTACAGATCTTTCGACTCCGTCATTAGTTTGTGTCGAAGCCTAAGTCGAAAAAACTTTTTAAAAAGTAAATTTAATCGAATTGGCCCATGCCAGATCTATAGTTAACGGAGGCGATTAGATAAATCTTCACAAGGTACGTGTATTAATTAAACAAATTGATCATCAATATTTAGTCGTGTTCATTAGAATTATTCATCGCTTAAGCAAGTTTATGGCATTGTTTCGTTCAATCAGTAGAATATGTTGATTATTTGTTAACTGACTTTTGTTGGCATGTACGACTACGAAATAAAAAAAAATTTCGCTTAGAAGTTCCCAATTTTGTTGTGAAATACTGTAATCATTTAAATGCATGTAAATATAATACATTGTACCCTGAAAAGTTTTAACTGGTGAAAGGTTGGTTGGGGGGGGGGAATGGATGACCGAATGGTTAGCACATGCGCGCTGTATCATTAGGTCTGTCATTGAGTCAACTGGCATGGTTTCGATTCCCCAGTTGTATGTGACAAGTATTAGGGTAGCCCGTCCAAGCTCGTGGTTTTTCTCCGGGACCTCCGGTTCCCTCCCACTGCTAAAGACCTACACGCAAACAAATTATTGATATAGAATTGAACCATATGTTAGTCCTGAAATGATCTAGTTTGTTTTGAGTGGACGTTAAACTCCATTTCTCTTTCTCTCGCTGATCAGTTGGAACTTGGAAATTGTTCAATGACATTGCTCGATGAATTTTTAAGGTGATATAGAACTATCGAAAGGGAGGACAAAAGTAAATTTAGTGTCGACTCACTTGAAACATTTTCATATTGATGTTAACCCGTAGGCCTATATCCGCAGTTTTGTTTTAACCTTCAGCAAACTGTTTATCATCCAATCTATTATTATTTACAATATTAAGATGAAAAAATCTATGGAATTTTAGTGATTTTTGATAATAACTTCCAGAGTTATAGCCCTTGGTCACTTTGTAGAACTTTGTGAACACAACTACAGAAGTTATCATATCTGTCAGTTCGAAATTTACATACGTTAATAATAAAGCTATTGCCTGCGTCATTATAAACATGTAAAGTGTTTTCAAACTACCTTGTAGTTATTAAAAATACTTTAAAACTTACCCCTGTCTTAAATCACCTCAGGTAAAATATGATCCATTATTGTACAGTGGTGCAATGAAAACACTTTATTTTTTAGCATGGCTCAGACAGTCATGAAACACAGATGCCAATCAAATTTTAATTATTAATTCTAGAGTTTATGGGCTGTTTTTAAACATACATTATTCAAGAGCTAAATCTGTCTATTGCAGGTCTTTTTTTAGGCCTGATATATTATCTAAATTATTAATTAGACATTAATTAACCTATCCAGACCATAATCAACTCTAGATGGCATCGCTAGCCTGCGATCTTTAGTGGATTGTGAGCCGATTTACTGAATAAGTTTCCTTCACGATTTAACGATTAAATGGATAATCGAGACTATGCCGTTAATCGTACTGACTTTAGTAATGATGATCAAGGCTAGGCGGAAATTCAATCGCTTTGTTCTTGGTTCATAGTGAATCAATTTGAATGAAATTTTCAGCAAATTGCCTTTACATTATCTAGTTTTAAACTATTATAGTGAGAACTGCCAACTCGTTATCGAATCTCCCATAATGTATCTTTAACTTTGCTGAATCTTGCCTAGCTGCTTTTCTGGTAATTTATATGTATTGTCCTGAAATGAAGAAACCTATTTAATTTCACTAATCTGGGTTACTTCTAGAGATTACTGCCTTGGTTTACATGCAATTTCTAGAATATTGTGTTTCTTTAAAAATTTATGACAGAATCTAAATCCAAATAGATGTTTGGGCCTGACTAGAATAAAGACCATCCCCACAGAATTAACCACTTTTTATACGCCTACATTTAATGATCCCTCCCCCATACAAAAAACCCAAAACAAACTGTGTGATTTGATGATATACATGTATTTGTACTAAAAACATATTCAAACTAATTTTTCTTTCAAAAGTTTGCTTCAAATCTCTCTCAAAACGTTTTAAAGGACAATATTGGTGTCTGTCATTATCACATATGTGATAGAACTAATTTTACATGTTCCAAATATAATTTTAACACAGAGGTCATTGCTACGATAGCTGAGTAATACAGGTTTCCTGAATCGGAAGTGACAAACGCCAAAGGAAAACATGAGTCATCCCTCTATATAACTGACTGATACATGGGCGAATTTCTGCTCACTAATAATTCCTTCCAAGACCAAAAGTTGTTGTGTGAGACTGTGAGAGGATATCTGACAATTCATAAAAAGAATTGACTGCCACTAGATAAGAGAACACGAAAGAAAAACAGAAAAAGTCTGTGCATTACCATGTTTTTATAAGGTATAGAATGAAGATAAACAAGGGAATGTACGGACTATTTCTATTTTTCTCGTGTTCTCTTATCTAATGACATTCAATTACTTTATTGAATTGTCAGGTATCCTCTTACAGTCCCATATAACAACTTTTGGTCTTTGAAGGAATTATTAGTGAGCCGAAATTTGGCCGTGTATCTGTTATCACTTGTCACATCAGTCAGTTATATGGAGGGATGACTCATGTTTTCCTTTGGCGTTTGTCACTTCTGATTCAGGAAACCTGTGCTACTCAGCTATCGTAGCAATGATCTCTGTGTTAGAATTATATTTGGAATGTGTTTAACCAGCTCTATCACATATGTGATAATGACTGGCACCAATATTGTCCTTTAATCGTAAGAAAACTACCACATGCCATGATGATCAGGTTAGTTATGAATATGACAAGATAGAAGGAGAATCCATTGTCTGCTTAAGTATGTTGTTAGTCTCTGTCCATTTTTCATAAATATCGTAGCCTGAGTAAATTCCTGGATTCTCTCTACCAATTTCTTTTTCTGCCATTTAATTGCAGAGTCTGGACATATAATTTTCACAATTTTCTCAGAACTGTTCTTCATGCTCCTTACGCCACTTGAGTTATTTAGGGATACCCTACCATTTTTGCCTTCAGATTGAATGTCTCTACTTTCATATACATGTACCAAATTTGTCCTACTTTAATTGAAAATAACTCCCTGATAAAGTGTGGGCATATTATGTCGTCACTTATGTCTGTTAGCCAACAATTGGCTTGTTAATGTGATAGAGTTTTAACAGATTGTTTGTAAATTAAAATTGTTGGGAAGCATTGAACCTCATTGATTTTCAGCGCTCTGCGTTTCTGAGTTATCACTCCTTTTCCTAAAATCTTGTTACGCAGTAGAGGCTACTGTTCCAGCGTAACTATATTGACCTCTTGGTTAAAGGTTAGTGGGCAGGTACATGTTGTCATTTTACCATGAATGTAACTTACTGAACGTGCACAAAGCTAGTCGGAGCTGACGTTTTTAAACTAACCTGTTCAGATGGCCAAGACAAACCAGCTTTTCCGAAAAAAAAAACCTTCTCAAAAACATGTAGAGAGCTGGGGTTTTTATTCTTCTCTATTTGACTCACTGACAAAGTTAAACTTAATTTAATCGAAAATTAATTTAAAGGTTAAACATAAAATTTTAAAGCGACATCTTTGTACAATGGGAAGCCAATGAAGGTCTCGAAGAATCGGGTTGATATGTTCACGGAGACGTGTCCGAGTCACAAGCCGGGCTGCAGAATTTTGAATTCTTTGTAGTTTCTTCAGTGTTGTGTTAAGGAGGCCATGTAAAAGACTATTGCAGAAATCTAACCTAGAGGTCACGAAAGCATGAACCAGTTTTTCAGCAGTAGGCTGATCCAATAGTTTTCGAATTCTCCCTATTTGCCATAAACCAAACGAGGCCGCACTACACATACTGGAAACTTGTGACGCCATCATTCCATCTGTATCAAACATCACTCCTAGGTCACGCACGGAGTCTGAGGGACTGATCTCTGTTGCACCAATTCGTAGTCGTACATCTGTAGTGCTGACTCGCGTATCCGCCTTCTTGTATTTGGACGAAAACCAGATAACCTCCGTCTTCCCATCATTTAATGCTAACATATTCGCTCGCATCCAATCCCGAATTTCGTCTACACAGGTCTCAATAGAAGCTTGAACAGTGTGATCCATCCTAGTTTCACAGCAGAAGTACAATTGGGTGTCATCGGCAAACATGGTATGAAGACCATGCCTGACAATTATATATTTTAACTTGAGCGTCTGACCTGGTGCTGTTCAGATACTTAAGTTTAGCTGGTTTAAAAAAAAAAACCCTGTTAATTTTGGCTGGTTTAATATTGCTGGTTTCGGCTAACTTATCATTACTCTTTGTAGAAATTGATGCTTTGTGCAAATAGTATGTACATGTGTGTAATTAACTGTAACCTATGAGTGACAGAACAATAAAGCCGAGTTCTCTTATGCTAGGTGTGAAGGCTAAACTCTCCTGGGTTTAAGACACAGGTTTAAACTAGCTTATATGTAGCAGAATTGCATAACTGAATGGCATATTGTAGATCTACATACATGTATAGTGGGTCTGTACATGTACCACAGTACATACTGGTACTCTATATACTAACTGAAAGTAATCATATACATTTGACCTTTTGACCTTTGGTGGTGTGTTCATAAGTGATTAATTAGTTTGAAAGTAACAATTAAAATTGTGATAAATTTTTAGTTTTTAATATTAGAACATTCGCCTGTACTTTTCTCCTTCATTATAATCTGCAAAGCTTACTTTTTTTTACAAAAAAAAAACAAAACAAAAACAAACCCATGATAAGATCATCCTTGATAGAACTTTTTTTACACAACCCATTAAAGGAGAATTATGTAATATTAGTTCGATTCCCCGGTTGTATGTGACAAGGAGTAGGGTCGTCTGTCCAATCTTGTGGGTTTTCTCCGGGTCCTCCGGTTTCCTCCTACTGCTAAAGACCCCTACCCGTAAGCGAATTATTGAAATAAAATTAAACCATACGTTAGTCCTGAAATGACCTAGTTTGTGTTGAGTGGACATTAAACCCCAGTTCTCTCTCTCTCTCTGTAAGATTAGATAAAGATCTGACAGTTCTTGCTATAATAGTTACAAAATAGATAATGAAAAGGGAATATGTTGCAAATTTCAG